AAAAACAAAGGTGTATCTACTTCTAAATACCCCAAAGAAACATAGTGGAAAATAAAGTAAGACCAGCAATAATATCAGGTGTTGCATCTATAGATAACACTACAGTCATACTACAGTCTAATTCCTGGGGACTGAATGCTGGTCTAAGACTAGGCCAAGGAATTACCTTACATTCATATGTACAAGGAGTAATTACCAGTAAATATCTCAAACTTTCACTATTATTTGGCAAGTAAATTTCCAGACTTTTGGAAGGATCCTTCTGAGTATTACTACCAAAGTCAGTAAACTATTTGCAGAGTTCACATGAAGTCAATGAGATTACTTGTAAGGACTTGAGATACCCAGGATAAGCAAATATACAGAAATATAGCTAATTTACAATTTGAAAGCACTACTACTTTCTCTAGTAATTTACTGTAATACTTTACCGCACATGGATGAGAGGCTTCCTTTTTTCTGTGAACGTATGTTCCAGTAGCAATGCTAAGTGCTCTGTATATACCTTCAACTGGATCAGAGTGGGAGGCAAAATAAAGCAGCATCTCTGTATAGTCGAGCAGAGCAGGATCTTTTCTGGTATCAGCAAATAAACTGAAGAAAAACTGTAAAAGGACGAAAATATGTAAACCAATTTCCATGAGTGGAATTTAATGGAATATAAATCAAGGACTGTAGAGAAAAGGATGAAATACAATAATTACTCCTAATAAGAGATCCTGTGTTTAAAAGCATGTTAATTCTGTGTAAATCCAGATAAATCGCGTGTTTAAGTATTTCAAGGAAACAGAAATTGAATTTCACAGAACATGGAAAAATTAATAAAATCTTTTATCATGACAAACATGTTCAAAGCATTTTTTGTATTCAGGTCACACTATTAGCTCCCTCTTTCATGGAAACATCTATGCAGTGATCATTTGCCTCCCATTCTTTACAAAGCTGGTTACTGTGTAGCAAAATTAATGTTGTTCAACAAAGAGCACAAATAATTAATTCTGAATAGACTACTTTAGTAGGACAATTCTTAGATTCCTTTCTACATTATTCTGAAGCACCACCTGACCTCAAAAAACACTGAAACATTGAAGCAATTATGGAAAAAAAAAGACACAAGAAACTTTTGTATGAGACCTCTCAGGTTTGAATAGTGGTCTCTTCAAAAAGCTATGTTTTTAGTTACCTTTATGAGGTGTTTTAGCCTATCTAAAGGCACAGATTGTGTGCAACTTTTTGTTATGCTTAGATCTTCATCTCCATTAAACCATAAGCCAACCTGATTAAAAAAAAAAAGTTTGTTAATTTTCACACATCAAAATAAGGTGGTCTTTAACTGTTCAACAGACAGGTTACTAAGAGCTTAATTCCTAAGTAGCTGTTTGTACTTTATAACAGATACTTAAGAAATTACTGAAAATTAAGTAGGAGAGAAGTGAATTTATGCTCTTGAATATACATAGTGGTAAACTACACCGCCAAAAAAGCAAAATATGATGTGGAGTTTCTATGCATGTTCTGGTTTCCTCCTTTTAGGATACCATTTGCTACCTCCATAGCTTTTGTCTGAACTGTACTTTTAGAAGAAACTGTCCACAATTTAGGATGATGAAGGATGGAGTCATGGCTCTTCTCATGCTTGCCCTGCTCCCAAAAAGATAACTAATGTAATGCCTGCAGACCATGTCCTCTAATGCCTACAGAGCTATAGCTACAGCTGTAAATTAAAAGTGCTCAGAACCAATTCTATAATACTAGACTAGAAAATATCAACTAGATCTAAAACAGGATAGGCATGAACAGACTGTAAGATCCTGCGCACATTCTCAGTCTGCACACCTTGCAACTGTTAGCTTAGTTTTGAACTCTCACACTTCAGTAAAAATTACAACAATAGAAAAATAGGTGCAGATAGACCTGCACTTTTTGTGGGATTTTTGGCTTTGCAGAATTTGTTTCTTTGCAAGTCAGGGGTGGGTAGGGATTGGCAGGCACCCCTACAAGTTTTAAATAACCAAAGTAGTTCTGAAACTGACAGACTTCTGGACTAACACAGCCTTTATTTAGTTTTTGAAGAAAACCAACACTAGGTGATTGGAAAACAAATTGCAATAAAGGTCCTATAAAATGTATTTAAAACAGTTTGAAAATTATTTTTAATATCAACAGACAAATGCAAAGTGGTAGAACTGTACATCTTCTGTGTATATGTGCACACACATACACATATATATATAGACACATATATATATGATATTCATAGCTAGTATGGACCAAAAGAATGAAACAGCAGTCATTTTAATTATGATTAAGAAAGCAGAGTAAAAGTAAGTGAAAATTTAATGAGCAGAATTTTCCTAAAAGAAGAAAAATGTATTCTTAATACTCTTTCATGAAACTTGCTTGCTGAAAAATCTCGCTAAACTATGTGACAATTCAAATAGAATCTATCTTCAGAGAAAAGATCAAAGAATTTTATAATTTTCCAGGTACTCAAGGTCTGAAAAACAATCTTAATTTGAGGAAATAATTAATGGGAAAAAAACCCCCTAGAAATGTTTCAATTAAGTACAGCTGATGAGCTGAAACTAAAATCCTTATTTCTGCTTGAGCAAGTTTTTTGTCTTATTCAGTGTCAAATAAGCTAATAGTCATCAAAGTGCACACAGAATGGTTTCTTTAAAACTGAAAGGGTTTTTACTTTAAATTAATAGTGAAACTAGGAAATGGAAGCTTGATTTGTGGAAATATGGACATGATTAGGCCATCCATTTCCTGAAAACACTTTTTACCAAAAAGCACCCTCAAACCCAAAAGCATTTAAAATTCAGACTGAGTTTCTGAATGTGAATAAACCCAACAATACATCATTCAATGTAGAGAATTTAGCAAAACAAAACATGATTCAAAAGAGAAAAGATTTATAACCTGCATGTAGTATTCCTCTGTAACAAAGCCTGATCCAGCTACATCAACAGCCTTGAAGCTATGCAGTGTTTTGAGGAGTTGTGTCACAGATGGCACTGGCCAAGGCTGCGCTGCTGCTACCAAGAATCTGCGCCAGTCAGTAAATTCTGCATTCACTGAGAATGCAGATGCCAGATTTTCTAACTATAAAATCAGAATAATAAATATTGTCAAATATGTGTGCATAAACATACAAACATACTCTTTCAATATCCTGTGTATTCTTGGGTCTTTTCCTGGCTAGGAAGGACAAGATCCTGCAGAGAGATGTCACAGTTATATAAAAGGCATGTATCAGTAGAAAAACAGGCCACAGGCCACTGTGTGTCAGTTGGCCTGTGCAGTTGATATCTCTCTAAATAAGTACTCTGACTCCCCAAATAGGGCTCTGTATCTAAACTGCCTATATCATCCTGAAACCCTGAACCATGTCCTGTCTGCATGAGCACCAAGAATTGAACTGACAATTCAGCAGCATGAGCACAAAATCTAGCAAATCCTTGGTCCCATGCCTTGGCCCTGTTACTCTTAGAGGTGTTGACCAGGTGGCTTTCTCTGCTCCAGCATTATTTTCAGTTGGAAAAAAGCAGTGGTAGAAAAAATGCTTTGTGTCTTTTTACCAATGAAGACATTGCAGAGCTGGTTACAGGGAGAAACAAACAGAACACTCCTAAAATCTCCTGAGACAGCATTAAAAAGGCTGTATTTGACAGGGGAAACCAACTCTGTCCAGTTCATTTCTGCACTGCTGGTATGGCGGGACCCTACTATGCACCTCTACACAACTTTCTGCCCCACACCCAGATTTCCTTGTCAAGGGAAGTGTCTGGGTTGCTCCAGACCAGAGTTTGAGAAGAATGTGTTCACAGGAAGAAGGCCCTGGGGCATCACAGTGAGACAATTTGGTAACACTGTAGATGTCATCTGTGCTGACGCTAGCTGGAACATTGCTGCTTATTATTAATTGAAAATTTATTGAGATTCTAGTGAGTCACACAATGATGAAATGGTGAGCTAAGCTCAGAATAGCTTGTGCAAAATAAATATATACCTTTGCTTATGCTTCATGCATTTCCTTTTGTAAATAAGTTCTTGCTTTCATTATAAATTTAAAAGTCTCATTTTAAAATGGCACTTTTAAAGAAAGAAAATTCAGTTATTAAAACAAAAATAGCATTTATAAGCACTAAAAGTTCTCAAAGAACACAGAACATGGGATACATGCACATGTGGTCTATTAATAGACAATATTTGACTTGCAGTTTCCCCCAAACAATTAATTTGCTGTGCTAAGATTAGATTTTTATATACTGATGATGACAGCTGTGGCTAGTTTTCACTAAACTCAATGGAAATAAACACTGGGAAACTTTAAAATGTTTTACTGATGCAGTTCATCTGTTTGAGGAATACATGAATGAAGCTGTTTCCACATGTGAAATCCAGTAAAAATATAAATGTGAATCATGGTTTACCATCAGAAATAATTATCAAAACATGCTAAAACAAGTAAATAATTTCATTCAATAGGCCTACCAGCAACATCTGAAAGTAAAATTAATCAGACAATTCTGTATGGAAGATTTGGAAAGACTAAATTCTAATTTTCATGTTCCTAAACCTGAAAATCTTAGATAAGTAAGTTTAAGGTCATACAGCTCCAGATTTTAATTACCTGTGCTGGAATGAAGAACATAAACAGTGTTATTTTAACTCCTGGAAATGAATTTTCAACGGTGTCTAAAAAACCCCATGATTTGAAAATTGTAAATAAATATATTGCTGACAAAAGCATTTTATTTCTGGCACAGTGGCTTCCAGAATCCTCTAGTGAAACAGAAGAATTTTAAGGAAAAACTGATAATGTCCTATAATAGCTATAATCTTGATTTTATCTTAATAAGGACAATGCTGCATCAATTGCACAATATTGCACAAACCAATATTCCAGTTGAAGAGAAAACAGGGGTTAACTTACATCTGGAAGTTTTAAGTTCATCCATTGATCAGGAAGGCAATTTACTCCACGATTCAAATTAACCAAGCGACTAAAAATGTCAATAAATTCTTTCTTTCGTATAGAACCTAATAGAAAAGTCAATACCAAAAAACATATTTAGTATTTTAAATAGACTTCTTCTGTTAAAGGAAATCTGTTTTTTTTAATTTTAATAGCAATGTGGGAAACTTATTTGTTTTGCTATTATGCACTATTGATAATGCTAATATATTCAAAGCCAAACATAAAATTTCCTCATTTAAAATAAATCATGTGTGGCCTATCTAATAGCAAAATATCAAACATTCCAATGCATTGCATTTCTTTTGATACTTGTTCTGATCTGCATTGTTATCACTAATCCATCCTCACACAGTCTACACTGACAGTTAATGAGCAGTTCAAAAATACCAATCACACGATTTCTGTATGTTGAATACCTACCAACCTTTTCCCCCACTGTGCTCTACTTTAATCGATCATAAATCTATCTCCACGCTTTAAAGCAAGCATAAGTTAGAGAATAGGAAAGAAACACAGACCATTGCCTGTTGAAATTTGAAACAAAATCGATCTGTTTAAAAAGCTTTTCAGAACTGACTAGCTCCATTAATTTTATTTTATAGAAATCATTAGACAGGTAAGTCCAACAAGTCCTATTTGTTTTTTAAATAGGCATGGATTTGCTTATGAGCAAGCAAACTTTAAATGTTATACACGGTATTAAAATGCAAAATTATGTATGTAAAATTTAACAGACAGATAGAAGTCTTTTCCTCCAGAAACAGACTTTGCTGGCTCAGCGAGAATTCACTGTAAAACCTCTGCATTAACAAAAAAACCTGGAAAATAAGTTTCAAATTATTTAAATTTTGAGAAACAAAGCTGATTTGGTCAGGTTATGATCACTTCCACAGCATCAACACTGGAAGACTTCAGATTAACTTTAAAAGCATGCACAATCAGTGAAATACTGGTAAGACTTACTTATTTTTTTTCTTTTTCCAGTCGAAAGTCTTGTCCTTTTGAAAAAGCACAGCTGTGCACATTTTAGGGCTAAGAGACATTTTTGTTGGAAGCAAAACAGTGGAGTGAAATGTAACTTTATGAAAAAAGATGTAAGTGGTAGAAAAATTAAGAATGTTTGAATATTAGTTTCATAATGTCAGTATTCAAAATCCAGTAGCCAATTTGAATTGATAGTCTACAGTCTCTGTTTATGTCCAATCAGGAAACACAGGATTAATGCCCTCAGCACATCTTAGTACAGCAGAGGAATCCTACACATATATAAGTTTGGAGAGAAGAGGCAAAAAACATACTTGGGAAGCGTAAATTCTGTTGGGAGAGGAAGAAGGAAGGACTTGAAGCCATATATCCTACCAGAAATTTCAGCATGAAAGCAAAAGCTGGGGAAAAAATACTGGCAGACTGGTAACAGTGCTCTGATGTCACCTTGTGAAAGTTTTTGAGTTATTGACATTGAGAAAGAATATCTAAAAAACCATGTGATAAACCCTTTGCTGTTTACTGAAGCACTCTGGATTGCTGATGTAATAATTTTAAGGTAACCAGAAATTTGTTTTCTGATGAAAACTTCATGCTACAAGAATCAGATAATTTCCATATGGCACAATAAAGCCTGCATAACAAAGGCATCATTACAGGGTGACTTCATAAGTAATTCAGTAAACCACATAACATTTTAGTGGTTCATGGGGAGAATAGTCTATGGTCCATGAAGGAGCCAGTGTACACTTCATATAAAAAACAACAGGAAAAAGTTTTACATCTTCTTTCAGTCTCATTTTTTCCTAGTGCTTTACCATGAAGAGAGCAGCTATGATAATTTTTATTGCATTTTTTGCTGAAATTTGCCTTTCCACATCTGATCACTGGCAATCTAACTTTTCTCACATTATTTTATGTTTAAAACAGTTCAACTCCTAATATGATTTCCCTCTATGACAATAAAGAATGTAGCTCCTGTATTTCCTATGAGCTTATGGTTTCCTGAAATGAAATTGAATTTTGTTTTTCTGCATAAAATTCTAAAAGGATACTAAGATCCTCATCTAATTTTTTTATGAGGCTACAGGACTTTAGAAACATATGTAAAAGGTATTTGAGGGACAAGGAATTTTAAGAACTTGCATCAAAACTAATGTCCGAAATGGGATTGCAATCTAAAATGTTACTCACAATCACAGAACTTAGATTGGAATAGAAAATGCTAGAATGCAGTTTTCAGGTAAATATTCTGGCAAACATGAATTACTGTGAGATATTTAAGCTCTGCCAGGTGATCTGCAGTATCTACCCACTTTTCTTCCTGTGTGGTAAATGTGAAGAAACACATCCTCTTTCAGTCAGAGCTAAGTGATTTTCTATCTATTAATTACAGAATTGCTGACGTGCTGTAAGGCAATTTCTTTTACTTTATTACCTCCTCCTGAAACATCTGATGTGGGATAATTCCAAAGTTATAATAGTTCAAAAATTTCAAATGGACTGTGATTTAATTCCTCCTACTGACATATGTAGGAGGAATGATGAGGAAGTCTCAGAGAGACAGAGGAAATGCCTCATAAACATGTAAAAAAAGATAAGAAATACTTTCCTCATTGTGTTTTCAGGTATTTTGTCTAGGTTTAATGTTTTTGGGTATATATTACAGAGCACGGAATCATTTTTGAATATCTGATTATAATCCGAGACAAAAGGTGATTCACCATTTTAGTTCAAGAGCTGCTAATGCTTTGTAATCACAGAGAGATGCTGAGAGTGGGCAGCTACACAGATGGTACCGAGAAAAGAATACCGGTGTCTGCAAATGGCACTCTGTAAGTGGTAAAAGTAAATAATGTCTTCTAGGAAAGAACAAGGAAAACAATTCCCAGAATTGCCTTTGTCCACGTAACAGGACTCGTTTCAAAACAGGTATGCTCTTTATAAAATCTTTTTGCTAAGTCCAAAATAAAAGAAACCAAACCCAGTAAGTTTTAGTTGAATAATGTAGGAGAATAAATAGAGAATTAAATTATTAAATGTCCAGAAACATTTTTAATTAGAAGAGGTAGAAAGCACTGTGGAAAAAGAAACAGTATTCATGAAGATTTTGAAAAACTCGAGAGATGATCAAGATCAGTAAGTAAATTTCACCAGAAACAGATCAAAGTACTTTGAGGAAACAGACTGACAAACTGATGCATTTATTACATTACAGAGAAAACAATTCAGGAAGGAATTTTAAGCACACTGGAGAATAGGATTAGAATTCAAAGTGAGCTTTACATATTGGAGATACAGTCTAGAATAAAAGGACACTATCCAATAAGGATTAATGTCAAGTGTCCCACTGGGCTGAAACAATGAACTGCATAAACGGCACAATGGGAATCTTACTGATAAAGTAAAATTTGTATAGAAAAGTATCTAGGGACTACCGCAGATCACAATATTACCAGAAAGTACACATAAAGACATTGGAAATAATTCTTTTTTTTTTTCTCCCAGCTGTTAAAGCTTCTGCTAGTATACAATTTTGGAATTTGCAGATCTAGAAGGATGTACATAAACTAAAGACTGCCCAGAAGAAAGCAGCAAGAATCATCACAGGCTTAGAAAACATGTCCTGAGAGGCAAGGTTGAAGGAATTCTCCTAGTTTCATGGATGAAAGGAAGATTATGAGAAAACATGCCCCCCTGCATCATGGAAGTGATTTCAGCATTATAGATTCTAAATATACTTTCAGTTTTTATTTCTTTTTTTTTGTCTTCAGCTGCTGGACATTCTGGGAACACACTTTCAACATATTTTTCTAATCTCAACATAGTTAAAAATTTCCCATTTGAAAACTAAAGAGGGGAAAAAATCCTCTTGGCATTATGTGATTTAAGAGCAAACCCTTAGCATCAGCAATGCCACATATGTAAAAAGGTACCTTGTATAATATATATCCTGTTGCTTCTTAGGTAAAATATATCTAAACTTCTTTTTTTTTTTTTTTGGTCTGAGAAATCACAGATTAACATATTTCAGTGATGGATCTTCTATAATCCACTGTATAGTGCACAGTACTGATCCTTTTTCTGACCCTACAGACTAACTCTGGACTAAAATCCCTTCAGGAGGCACTCATTCAAAACTTACTCCATTTCTGACAAACTGTTTAGACCTAGATATATGCAAAACACCAAAAATATATATATATGTGTGTGTATATGTGTGTGTATATAGGGTAGAGTTACACGATATAGTATGGTATGGAACTGTATTGTGCAGTTTCTGCTATTATTACACACATTTTACTCCAAAAGTAAAGAGTTGATCTGGATTCAGAAAATGGGTTGATTTAAAGGTGAATGATCTCACATTCATTTCTCCCAAATTATCTCTAGTACATCTTCATTACTGTTGGAAGAAGCAAGAGGGGTCATTAATGATTTAATTTTAGCTATCTTTTGATACGAATCATTGCTATTTCTTTGATGGTAAAAATATATTCTGCTGGTATGCTTTACCTTGATTGGAAATTATCAAGTAGAAAGTTGCATTTAGAATATGTAGAATTATGAAAATATGAAATCAGATACTTCTCTGAACTATACTTATTCTCAGCTCCTAGACAAAAAATCAAGATAAAGCATTCTTATTACAACTTTCAAAAATATTTTTACAGGGGAGAAAGAAAAGTGGTTCAAGCTGTGAAGTATATTGGTCATATCCTGGCTGTAAGAGTACTTGTTATGGGAAGACTGATTTGTCCAATTAAGAATCAGCAATGGATCTGTTCTGCCTCTGTAGAGAAGTCTTCAGAAGGATAAGTCTGAGAAAAACTGTGAAGGGTCATGTTAAAGCTTATCTGGTTTGTAAATTTCATCAAGATCTACAAGGGGAGAACCAGATTTAGCCATAGCATGGTATGTTCTAAAAATATTTTCTACTCTCCCTAATGTTAAGGAGTTCATGCTCTTCAACACCTGCTCAGCAGAAGCTGTGTCTGGTGAAGCAGTACTGGCAGCTTCCATGCAGGTAGCCCAGGCATGAGCTTCACTACTCTGGTGTGTGTTTATAAATTCAAGTTTGAAATCATCAGTGCCAGAACAAAAATTATGAATGTTTTCCCCCAAATCCACATTATGTTTACGACACGGTACACAAAACATTATTCCCCTTTCATCATCATATTTTAACCAGGAGTATTTTGTTAGCCATATTTTTGGAAATTGACGATTTCTCTTTCTTTTCTGATGTTCCAAATCTTTCTTCTCTTTCCCTCCATCATCAACTTCTCTCTTGCTAGAAGAATTACTCTTGCTTTTGAATTGCTTCAGTGCTCTTATGGCTATAATTTAAAAAGAAACAACTAAATATATAAGAGTTATTATTCCATAAAATATCAATTGCATCTTTTCTTTTTTTAATCCATAATAATCTTGTTAATTTGGGACTAGACTGTGACTTGAAATAAACAGCCATGAAGGAGAACAAGGAAAACAGAGATCTACTCTTAAATCATTTGGAGACTACCCAGGATTCTTGTAAGAAATGGTCAGTTTTGACTTCCATTTCCTTTTGATTATCAGGGGTTTGTCAGAACATGCAATCAGTGAAGGGCAGCAGCATCAATACTATTTTGGAAACAAAGAAAAGCAGAGTTAGGAAGAGGAATTAAGAAGGGTCTTCAAGGACAAATGTCTCCAGAAGATACTACTGAAGTCACAAACCTATTACAATGCCCATCATACCTGACATTAGCAGAAAAGTTAACTTGGAGCAAGTCTGTGAATACATAAACAAAAACCTGACAAAAAAGCATAAGATCCTCTAAGGCATATGTAGCTGACATGATTTTCTTAAGATGTATTTATACGCAGAATGATTTTATTACTGCTTAAAGAACAAGGAACTGTATAAGCTTCTCATTTTGTTCTCCAAATTAAAACAGTCTTAAAACATTGAGATTGTTCTTAACACTTCCCAAATTGTTCTTTCCTGTATTTGGTAGGAGAAAACACCATAAGCTGAAATTTTTGAAAATTTTATTGCTAGAGCTTATGAATCTCCTACTTTTGGCCAGTAGGATTCTTTTAGTACATTGCTGCCAGAAAGTTAGGACTTTAAAAGAAAGTAACCAAATAACGATGAGAAATTACATGCAGAATGGAGGCAAGACAACTAGAAATCTATTTATTCACTGCGAAATAGCAAAAGTAAAGTCCTGAGCAAATGACCTAAACCCAGTCTGACTCCCTGCCCTCCTTATTGTGATGTGTACGTCAAGAGGCAAAATTTATGATTACATTAAGCTAATCATGGCAGGAAATGCCATTCCTGGTGGTTTAAAAGGTCTGAAGAAAACAAGTTTTTGTATGCCACTCTTTTCTATTTTACAGGAAGGAGCAAATTTTAATATATATTATACAATCTGTGAGAACTCTCTGTTCCCATTGTCATAAAAAATGACAGTTTGATTGTTCCATTCTATTCTAAGCATCCTGAAAGGCCATAATATTAAAAAAAGTTAGGAACATGCAGTTTAAATACATTTGAGTGATCCTTTTAGAGAACTTTAAAACTGAGATAGCAGCTGTGGTCCACATGGACAGCAAAACCAACCAGACCACAGAAGGTTTTTCTGACATGCACAGGTACCATACCCAGGACCGAAAAGATGGGCAGAAGTATTCTTAACACACAGTAAAGATTTAAAATCTTCCCTAACATTAGGCAGCCACAAACTCACAAGACGAAGTGAAAAAGAGTTGGAGAGACGGATTAATGGATCTGCAACTTCAGAAGTCAAAGGGCAGAAGGGACAAAAGCAATGTAACATATTTATAGTGCCTACTGCTTCTTGAGGGGTGTGGGCACCTGTAGAAATTTCCTGGTGCTTAGAAAATAAGGGTCAGAACAGACTTGTGATCCACTGCCAGGGATAATATTCTCTGTAAGACGGGACCTTCAGTGTTACCAACATTTTTCAGTTTCCATGAAGGAACTGGGAACATAGGAAAAGGTGGGATCTGTTGCAGTAGTATTTTGGAAAGAACACAGGATACAAAAGGAAGCCAGCCTGTACTAATTATGAAGCAGCCTCTTTTTCACATAAAGTTTGTCATCAATGAAATCAAAAAGTAGGAAAAGTTACACAAGGTAAAGTTCTTTTTCATTAAAAACTTTTTAAAAGGTAGTATCATTCCCTGATACACAAGGTGACATTAGAAAGCCTTTATATGTTTCAAAAAGCAGTGCAGAAACATTGTAAACAAATGCAAAAAGTAATTAGTGAAGAAATTAAGATTATGACCGGAAATGCAAGTGAAAACAGAAAAATTAAACATCCAAAAAGGAGCATTAAGAATGATAGTAGTGCAAGTGTACACTGGATTTGTACCGTGTGAACCAGGACTGTGACATTTAACCAAAGAGCAATCACCCTGCACAGACATAAAAAAGAGATTTTTTTTAATAACACACCAATCAGCAGAATATTTTCATACAGGCATGAAAATATTTCCCTAAACTGAGAAAGTAGTATATCTTTATTAAAGATTCAGATTATAAATTTACACAGGCAACAAACCTATACTAGAGATGAGAATTATGTTAACATAATTGCCTTTTCATAAAATTTTACCAGAACATTTGAACGGATTTATATTCCTCCTCATTTTCACTGAGAAAAATATCTCCATAGTAATATCAAGAGGTTTGGATGATGATCCATGCAAGTTATGCACCAGACTCTGTAGCATGAGTGAAATAAACCTTGAGGATGAATTATATTCATCTAACTTTAGTAGTCTAAAAGGCAATAATATGGTATACTTCCATACTTAAATGAAAAAGACAGGCATTTCACATATATGATTCTTTCTATCCAAGTTATTGAGAGACTCATCATTCCCTGCAGGCAAATTTCACTGTAAATATTTACATCATCTATTTACTAATTATTATTGATTCTGCTATATGTCCAATCTTCACTAAATAGCAAGAACTGGGATTTTAAATTTAGAATGACAGAGAGTAAGGTATTTCTGGTGCTGCACAGATGCAATGAGGGGTGAGGTCCTCTGTTGTGATGACTGAAATCTAAAAATTGGATATATATATATTCAAATGCACAGAAACATATACAACCATGTTAAATATGTTCCATACAAGTAATTAGATACACAGATTTATAAACATCATAGGCAAACAGTCGCAAATTTCTGAAATTAAGTAACATACATGATTTAGTAAGAGATATAACAGCAGGTGTAAATGGAACTTTCAGTAGAATTACCAAGTTTTCATCTAGTAAAAGATATTTCCTCTGTCTATAAACTTAACCTTTCTTATTTTCAAGTTTTAAAAAAGCACATTGAAAATAAATAGTCTCGAAAAAATGGAAGTTAGAGATGATGAACCTATTTCTATGCTCATGTATGAACTTCAATCCCTACATACATCAAAGTCAGGTCATGATGATTACTAATGTAAGATCTTGAATTGCTTCTAGAGTGCTTGGGAAGAGAAAGCATAATCTATAGACATTATCCAGGGTCAGCATAAAATTCTGATTCAAAAAAATATTCTATTAAAAAGGTAACAATTCAGCTGAACTACATGAACACTTTAATATATCTATTTGTTCCAAATCTAGCAACACAGTAAGATTCAATTGACAAGCCTACAGCTTGAAAAGAAATAGCAATACAATTTGGTTATAGACTGTCCTTTATGTTCACATCTTAGCAGTCTACTTAATAATTTCATAAATATTTTAAACTTTTTTTTGTTATTTGATATAGAAATTTTTAATAAATCAGAAGTTTATTTCTGATGAACAATGGCTTCTATAATTAAATTGGAATGGTTCATAAAGGTCATGACTATGAAAAAAAATAAAATTTAAAAATTCCTTTGTGTGATTCAGTCATAAGATGGAGAACATACTCTAGGATAGAATCCAATTTGATCTGCTTACTAATGCAAAGCCATACCCAAATTGCATTTTCTGAAGCGTCTTTAGAAGAGAACTAAGACATTCCATATGTATGCTAATTGTAATGACAAGAGATGTGGTCATAGGAAGAACATAGTGCTGAAGGGAAGCAAAGGGGATGAGATTTAATAGATAGTTAGTTTAATTTTGTTGATAAGAAGAGCACACATCCAAAGAGACTGTACAAGAGAAAATAAAAAAAGTAAGAGTTAGTAGCTCTACATGCCACAGCTTTTCCTATAAAAAAGCATTCCTGAGGTAACATATTAGAGCACTGTCAACAACTTGATCAAAAGAGTTAGCGAAATCATCAATTATTGCAGAGCCATGTTGAGTTTGGGTAATGGCATGTGGAATAGTAAAAAAAAAAAAAAAGTATTTCCTTATGAAATGAAAGGCTGTCAGTAGGTAGGAAGGTCCAGCATAAGCTGGTTTTTTTTGTCCATCGGTGCTTAGAATGGAGAGTAATGTGCTTCCATGGAGAACCAAGTGTGCAGGATAGTACAAAGTTGTCTGTGGTGAATCGGCAGTTCTTTAAAACTTTAAATTCCTAGGAAACACAAAACTGTTTACAATTTTTATATGAATTCTTTTCTGAATATCAAAATTCTTTTAAGCATATTGGCACTCCCACTTCTAGCTTTAATTTTAGCAATTTGTTAAACATATCTTGAAAAGACTTCCTTTTGACATTTACCAAATATCCAGTAAGAAACCTGTTTACATGTTCACTTCTTCCAACATAATCACCCCTTCTTTGTTACTCTTTATGTGCTTGCTTTCTAAGTAAAAATCTGCTTCATGTAATCTCCATAATGCTTTAAAAAAGCCTAATATGCAATTTTGAGAACCACTTTAGGAATTTTGCTATTCATATACTACAAGGAGATTGGCAGGTTTATTCTATTTAGACTTGCCTAATAGCCTATGCCTCATGTGCTTGTTTGTGTGGACTTCCATTAAACGCTGAGAGATCTGCTCAGGTGGGTGAGAATAAGAAAAAATAAGATGTTTGGCAGCACATCTAGATCAGTTTAGAGGTTCTCCAAGGCAGGGATTTGTTTGTTATTTTTTTGTATCTGCTTTAGAGCTGCCGGTCAACAATTTCACTGCCAGTGTGCTGGGTGCTTTAGTGTTTTCCCCTCTTTTGTTCAGTGAGAGACTAACTACTAAGGAAGCATGTATTTTATGTTGAGCATTCTATTGAACAAGGGGAGATAGAAGGATATGAAAATTTTTCCTGATGTTTTAGGAGAGAAAGGAGTTTATAATGAAGGGGAGTGGTTGCCTTAGGAAATGTAGGACATGATTTATGCTGTCTTAAAATAAGAAAAAGATGGGAAGAAGTATTTTAAAGATGACTTGCACAGTTTGTGATTTTCATCCTAATTCAGCTATCCAAAAAAGCTAAATATCTTGACTTAATAGTCATCAGACTGTAGAAGAAAGCTTTTGCATGTTTTTGGGACCTTATTTTAAACAATAATTCCCTCCCATTGTCCCAGACAACATTCACCATCATTCCTTTACTGTCTCATGACTACTAAGTCAAGATATTTCGGTTTTTGGGTACCATGCAAGTTATGTTGGATCATTTTAGTGAATATAATATCATCAAAATTACAAATATTGTAAAAGATAAATACTTCAATTGTTTTCTTGCTAATTATTACAAGTATACAAGCAAAGTAGTTGGTCTGTCTTGAACTTTGTAACAGACAAAATTTTTTAGTTTTAAATATCTTAAAGAATGAGTGACTTAAAAACAAAAAAATCCTTTCTAAGTGAAAGGACCAGTCATACTGGTATCTGTGTTCCACCTCTCTGGCACTATCTAATGATCACAAACATACAGATTTTTTAGTTTTATGTGTCATAACGTATGCAATACTATCTGCAAAATTAGTCTCTACAGAAGATTTTGAAATGCTTACACACACATCCACACTCCTCCACTATAGATGAGATGATACGCACCTCTCTAAGGGAAAACTGTAAACATCTTTCTGCCTAAAATGGTTTCATATACAAAAGGAAATTGGAAGTGCTCTATAAATATTCATAAAAGCATTTCTGAATAAAGAATTAAATTCAACATCATAGTGCCTTTGTGGCCCTATTACATTGGAAGAATTAGATTTAAAATTGCAAGTAGTTGTTTACACATTGTATTTCACAATCTTAAGGGCAATCACACTGAAATTATAATATGGAACACTGGTAGTAATGAAACACTCTGCAAATATGTGTGTAACTACTTTCCATCTCAGCTTAAAAACTGCCTTACCTAAATTATTTTGTAATATTTGTACAGTCATAGGAAGTTTTGCAAGTAAGTCTCTTCAAGCATCCTAAGCCTAAGGTTCCCATAATTAGCAGGCACCCATACAATAAGTGCACATTCAAAGGAAAAGAAAAATTACATATCTAAGTTAACAAATCACATTATCTGAGTTAAGATCCAAAACAGCAGGCACATATTAACTGGAAGAATATAATGGTTAATAGTTATAATAGACTCTTTATAATAGTTTCATGAAAATACTGATTTCTTTAAAATTGTGTTTTAAAATAATACAGCTTCAGTGTTCACTGAGCTCTCATTTAGTAAACAAGTTACAGATTTGAATCTTTAGCAAGCATGAAACATACCCCTCTAAAAACATATTACGGAAACAGCTGTTGGAAGAATATTAAATATGTGGTCTTGTGGATACAAAGCCCACAACAAAGCCATTAGAAGCTTTCAAGTGGCCTGGTACTTCACATTTTCAGTATTCTGCATTATGAGTTTTCTATGTAGTGGGATCTTTAGCATGATCTTCATCAATATGTTTAGTCATACTAATGTTTAGCAGTTCCCAAACAGTTATTCCAGATTGTGAGTAACTAACAGTCCTTCAGGAGTTAAAAGAAAAAAAATTTCCTACCTTTAGGTGCCACCTGTAGAAACTGCTTATGAAGCTTAGTAAGTTGTGAAATAGTTAGAGTACTTCTAGAGGTTTTTATGCGTGGAACTTCTAGTGTAGGAACAGGGTCAGGAACAGGGTCAGGAAACATTTTTACATCACCATTGATGAAGAAATCTGTTTCTTCTAAAGTCATTTCATATTGGATTTTGCTAGAACTCTCAACATGATATCGTGCAGCCTCAACCAACTTTTCAACACTGTGAAAGTGCGAGTGAAGAAAACCATGAGTACTTCTAAAACACAATGTTAATAACATAGCTTTAAATTTTAATGTGTTTACACTTATAGAGCTTTTCTGAAATAAGAATTACAAATCCTCTGTGCAAATGCTGTAATCAGCAAAATCATTATGAAGTCTACTCCTCCTCTGCCAGCATGACATCTTTTGACTATGATAAGAAATTTATATAAAGTCAGACCTAGGAAACAGAAGAGACCAGATGTAAAAATATGAAAGCACCTCCTAGGGGAGGAGAGGGATATGAACTCCCGTTTCAAATGTAACGAGTATAATTTATACAGGGAAAGACATTAGCTGTCTGCAACATTCAACTAGACGCAGATTTGGCTTGGAGTGTCAGAACAAAGGATATGATGTTCTGTAAATACCGTATCTTTGACTTGTTGTCAGGAGATCAAATAAAACTGGCTGGAAGGCTGAGGCTTTGCCTGTTTGAGCTACTGCCTGTTAAAGCCCTCACATCCTACATTCATGTCTTTCTTCTCGGGCATGCCCTGAGATGGATCAAGTAGCACTGTTCCAGGTACGATTTAAAATTTAGTACAGGGCAGAAGCATTTTACAAAGGGCAAAGTGACCCCTTTTCTTTGGAGAGTAAAAGCCCTTTAATGATATGAACATAGGTCATTCTATGCCAGATGGTCTAAGTGTCATACAGTGGTCCAAAGTACATTTCGGTTACTTGGACAGAAAAATTGCAAAGGCGAACTTTTTTTAATGGTCCTTGAAATAATTTTGAGAAATGTTACAGAAAGTGGTAATAACGGTAGGTGGAATTTTCCAACATGTGTAAAGCACAGGAAACAAAACGATCTCACATTCCAAAGTGACAGAAGCTATGGAAATGATACAGAGCCTTCCACTAAATGGAATAACTGGCTGGCTGCTTGTAAATCTGCCAAAGCTGTAGTCCAATAAACAGACTAGAAATATATAATAGAAAAATAGCAAAACTGATAATTACCTTTACAGTTATCAGCAGAACCTTCTAGGAAATCAGTTATTACTACTCAAGTATTGAAGATAAAATGAAATTTCAGTTCATGAAAAAAAATTATTAATTTAAAATTTTTTCCTCAAATTATTTCTCCTTATATAAACTACCATATTTACTCCTATAGTCTAGGTAAAAAAAAATAAAATTGTTTAAAACTGATATACATTACCTGGCCATTTCTGCCAGGAAGGTGGATCCAAGCCACTTTTCCATATCTCTGTAAGCCTCTTCTGCTTTCATTTTTAGGTCTTCAAGAAATGCTAAAGCTTTTTCTTTTATAAGTTCTAGTCGAGATTTTGTGGCTGCCTCTGTTTAAATGGTAATGTCATAATGAATAATACTTATAAAATTTTAGGAAATTCTCAGTCTTAAGCACCTAAAATTTAGCGTGATTGCCTGTTTTTAGGCAGTAAAATACTTACTTAATTTCTGATATTCTTGAACAAATTATTTTCTCAGAATCACCTCTATTGCATCCTGTATTTTACAAAAGTGTGTATTCTATAAGCATCAGAATTCACAAGGCAAGAAATAGCTTAATAAAACTAACACAGTAGTGCAGGGAATGTTAAAGTAAACAGTGACATTGAATAAAATTAATACAGCAACAGACCTAAAATCTTAATGATACAAGTGTGAGTACTCCTTTATGGATAAATGTTACAGAAAACACACCTAAATCATTATCTATGTTAATCACAAGAAAACTCTGCTTTTCTATTTCTAACCTCCAACCCTTTAAAATTAACCTCACTTGTTCTGCCCCATGCTTCCTACATATCCACTTTACACCTTCAAAGTCAGGTTGCATTAGAAAAGAGGTTGGTTAGTGAGCACTAAGAAAATAATTCACCTCTACCAAAATTATGCGCAGAATATCCACATGAAAATTTTAAAAATATTGAGACTTTAATGATAATATAGTTTAATATGGTCTGCTGGCTCCTCTGGCACCTTATAGGACCTTCCAGTACCTAGAGGGGCCTTATTAGAAAGATGGGGACAGACTTTTTAGTAGAGCCTGAGCAAACAGACAAGTGGTGATGATTTTAAGGTAGAAGAGGGTAGATTCAGACTAGAAATAAGGAAGAAATTCTTTAGTGTGAGAGAACTGGTTACTGTAAAACACTGGAAGACATTGCTCAGGGAGGTGCCCCATCCCTTAAAACATTCAAGGTCAGGCTGGACAGGGCTCTGAGCAACCTGATCTAGTTAAATGTGTCCCTGTCCTTGACATGGGGGTGTATTAGGTGAGCTTTAAAGGCCCATTCCTACCCAAACATGACATTGTATGATTTTAAGAACAGGATGCCAACTGCATGAAAAGACAGCTAAGGTAATATATTGAGAGGTACATGGAACTGGCAAAAAGCCTTAAAAAAGAAGACTAAGGAAAGAAGACCAGTAGAGAGTGATTATTTTCAATCTTTAAGGCAAATTCAGTATTCAACTTGGTTTTTCTTCATATTTAACCCTCTGTATGACAGAATCTTTAAAATAAATAATATTTTATAGTAATTGGTACAGTGACTTCAAAGTAAAAGACTGTCACATTATTTATATAACTATATTTATTGCACATTCTATTAATTTTTAAAAATACTTAGGTTTGGGGATGAAACCTTCTTTAGGCAACCAAGGTAGAAAGATGGACTGCAAAAAATAAAAAATAAGGCATTGTTCTTTAAATGTGATATTGCAGTCACAGCACAATGCAACTCTGCACAATTTCTGCTTTGAGCAATAAAGAGTTGATGTTCAACATTTTAAACATTTGGGTCTCACAAAGGGTTTTTTAATTGACGGGAAAAAGTAAAGGTTCTAAGTTGAAAGTACTTCAGAGGATACTTTGTGCCTATGTAGTCACCTTTCTGTAGTATAGTTTAAGGCTGCCTTAATTGTGACTTCTCTGCACATTCTTTGTGAAGCTGCTATCAGTAGCTACTGAGGTCAGTGTATGACAATTTTTATTTAGAAGTAGGCACTGCACAGTCTACCAACAAAGCTGCTCTCTTAACAGTAACAGAGTAGAAGGCAAGGTACTTTGATGCAACAGAGAAATGATACATGAAATCAACATTAAAAACTTAGCAACTGTCCACAACTAGTGACTTTGCTAGACTCAGTGTAGCTGTATAAGCAAAAGAACAAGTTCCAAAAGCTGCAAGTGAAACTACCAAATACCAACTATGTGCCTGTGCAAATAGAAAATACAGCTCAACATGTTTAGTGTTCCTTAGGTTCTTGGATTTTTTCAAATACAGGATAAAAATAAAGCAATGTAAAGAAAACAAAACACGTTAATGAATAACACTCATCCTCATGCTACTAGGATCTTCAAAGTTATTACTATTCTTCTCCTCATCACTCCAAAACCTTAGAATATTTATTCTTAGACTGCTTTTGTATTAAAACATGTTGAAAGTGGAAGGTCTACAAGCACTTGATCTGATTGGACCTAAAGAAGCCTTATGAATTTGTGTTTTGTTCATTAACCGCTGTTTGCCCTTTACCTTTCATAATAAAATACTATGCAATAGTTAGTCCATCAAAGAAGTAACATGTATGGTGATGAGCTTGCCAACTGCTGCCAGATAGAATCTGTAACAGCTAGGCTCTATCTTCCCTTCAGTGATAAACAGGTATTTTTCTTTTAGTTTAAACCCATCTCCAAAAAAATTTTCAAACCTCTTTCAATCTAGGACTTCTTTTTTTCAGACATCTACTTTTGGCTGAATTGGCTTGAAAGTTATTGGATAAGACAGACAAAGAGACAGAATAACTGAAAAAATATGTAGTTTTTGAAGAGTCTGTCTATAAAGAACCTTGGAAGAATAAAGAAAATCTGTATCCTGCTGCTTGAATCCCATGCGGCTTGAAGAAGAGGGAATCAGAGAAGAATATCAAGGAAATATACAATTGCCAAAAAATTATCTCCCATATAAAAATATTTCAAATACTGAACTCAATTCAATTGAATACTGAAAAGTGGCTAGCCACCAATGCTAAGCCTTTTCTCTCATGGCAAATATTTGCTTAGTCATGCCAAATTAAAATAGATTAAATGAAACAGAGAACAAAACAAATGAAAATCACATTTCTACTTTTAATATATTTATCACAAAAGCACTGACAATTACCACCCTAAAAAAATCCTGATTTCTCCAAACACTACTCTCTTCCTTTCTTTTTTCTTTCTTATCCATCCATTTTCTCTAGTGTTTCTGGCTAGTTTTGACTATTACACTACCTAAATTAGGAATAACAATCACCTCCCAATATAAATAACCAAATAGTAACATACCCTCATGTTTCAAGGCACTCAGATGTTCTTGTTTTATTTTAAGTGCCAGTTCTTGTTTCTTTAATTCTTCTGGGTCTAAAGTAATTACACTGACTTTCTTCCGTGATCCTGCAGGAAAACAGACTTTTCAGTCTTTGGACTTTGCTAGTAAATTTGTGTATCAACACACAGGCATCATTAGCATTTTTTTTTTAAGAAAAATTACACTTTCTACCTTACTTGATGTGACCATTTATGAGAGTACACAGGTGGGTGCTCAGCTATCAAATGTGATTTACATCTGCAAGTCATGCTAAGATTAACACTCCATAAACATACCCCAGCATATACAACCGTATTAAATTGCTCAAAGGATGTCCTAAAATGTATTTCTGAATGGAAGATCATGACTGAGTAGGTGTGCCTCTGTTTCGACCCTAGATGGTCAGAATGTTCTGTTTGACCCTAATATCTACCAATTTATCACAACCAGCAGATAAATAAACATCTTTTGAATAACCCTTGTTTCTTTATGCCTTTCCAAACCATTCTGTAACCTGCATTACCAGCTCGTTTTAACTTATTTATCTATGAACAGATACTGTAAAGGTATTTTATAATGTTTTTAGAGATTCTTTAGCCATGTCACTTTGGCTATTACTCAAAAATATTAAAATGTTTGTAATTGCTTTATCCTAGAAGAAGAGCAGATGGAGATGTTACAGAAAAAAATAAAAGACATCTGCATGATACATAAGGTCAACATAAAGCAAATGGTCAAATCGAGAAGTGACAAAACTACATATGGTAAATTGTATCACTCAGTTACTAGCCCAGAGCTCTATCCCAGGGAATTCTTGAGTCACAGGAACACTACAGTAACGTTGTATTTGACATTAAATCAAAGTTGATACTTCAGTTACAAATCATCACCGACACTTCCTCTTCTACCAGGAGGAATGCACAGCTGAGTTCTCATTGCAGTTCTATCACTTTATGGTTTTGTCATTTCAGGTAAGTTGTCTGGTACCAGGTAGGAAGAAAAATTTAGTTCCAAGAAGCAATCCACAAACTTCCATCTAGCCACTTAGCATACAACAGGTGACAACTGCTGATTTTTTTCTCACAACACTTGTCTAGAAGTCTGAAAATCTGCTACTCTCTTGGCTGGACTAAATGCTAAACTAAGCCTCCAGCTCTCTGGGGCTCACAATTGGCTAAGTATTTGCAAGGCTATGCTTGTTCAACCTACTAGGGGCAGAATCAACCAAGGGAGAGAACTGAGCAGAGTGCAAATTAAATGTCCGTAAAAGAAAAAAAGTCATCTGCTTTATGCACAGTAACTCTGCAGTTACAGCTTTCTCACTTGGAAATGGAGTACCTGAATTTCAGGTTACACTCACATCGCAGGGCATGAGCCCCTCTCTTGACATGTAGAATGTCTACACGAAAGATAAAAGATTCAGGCTACTAGCCTTGCTTCCTGCTGAAGTCAGGACATTTTGCAGGAAAAAAAAAGTGGAAGTTACATAAACCACTACCTGCACAAGGAAGTAGTTATGACAAAATGCATAAACAGCCTTGTATGCCACAATCCCTTCCAGCAGACTGCCTGTTCCTCTTTTGCAAATAAACTAGGACAGTTTCTTACCAGGCCTACATTCAAGACCTCCCTCAATAGGAGTTGCTTTTTTTTAAGACTATAGATGATATTAGATCCTTTGTTCTTTATTTACACCACATTGCAGTTACACATAAAAATTATGGACATTGATTGATCCATGCTACTATATGGCTACTAAATTAATTTCAGTATATTTTAAGATACTGGATAATTTACCCATTCCATTCCAGTCCCATTATTGTAATTGTTGAGGAATGCAGTCAGTGCAGCTAGCTTTGGGAGCTGCAGGCTGAGTTCTGGGTGGTGGGAGCCTGAGACAAGAGGCTGTGAATTGGCACCAACCCTTTGCAGAACAAAGGGCCCAGGGTCCTGTGACCCTGCCAGGGGAGTGGACACACGGAGACACAGCAGGAGACAATGACCCCAAACTTTCATGCACTTAGACTGTGGGAGTATAAGAGCCCAGGGTTTCCTTTGTTCAGGGTCCCTCCTTGAAGGCACCAGTTCAAGCTGCTATCCTGTTGTTGCAGCATGATTAAATCATTTTAAGGATCCAGATGTCTGAGACTCTGCCATGTGAAACCTGGGATGGAGCCTGAAAGGAAACCTGGTCTGACTGTGCGAGTGTGGGCTGCGTAGGGAATCAACTGGGGACCTGTCCATTCACTGGAGCCCCCTGCTTTGAAGGGATCTCAGTCCCAGCTCAAGTAGTGTAGAGTGTGACTGCCAGAGTGGCTCCTGGATGGTCAGACAGGGAAATTTCCTTAATAGTAATATTTGAAATATTTTGACTTACAGCTGGCAAGTAGGCAGAATTTAATAGAATTTTATTTAATTTGATAAACTAGTTCTAACTATTCCATTCCATTCCAATACAGAACATGGAGAAAAAAATACTTACATGCTATTTAGAATCTTTATTCCTACATATAAAGACAACATATACGTTCAAATAAATGCACTTGCCATTCAAAAACCTCTGCCCTTTTTTATCACTACCAGCTTTTTATATTGACATGTCATACTGAGCATTTTAAAAGATAAATTAAATAGAAATTGAATATCTTGGCTTATTCATTTCTGTATTACTCACATATTTACATTTCAGTAATTTCAAGCACTGCTGAAACAAAGCCTGTATTTTAAATACCTTTCTTCTTAGGAAGTGATTTGGTAGAAGGCTTTCTGACATCTTTCCCAGCAGCTTTGCCTGAGCGTTTCGGATCTTCTTTCAGTTTTTGCTGCTGCTGGTCTTCATCCTCCATTTCTCTAAACTCTATTTCAGCTGTTACCTTGACATCATAGTCACACATAATACAGTACAAAGCATCATGTCTGTGCAATTACTGTTTCAAATTGCCTATATTTGCTGAAAGTACTTAATGATAAGTAGACACATAAGTAAAGGAGATACTTAAACTAATTGATTAAACTTTGATTATTTATCAAAAATATAATTGTACATCAAAAATGCAAGACAGAGACAGAGTGGGTTTAAATTTGTAATCATTCCCTGTGCTCAAGAAAAATGTGAGAAATGCAAGAATCAACAGTATAGAAAGCAAGCCTAAAAGTTATGTGGCAAGGGTGCAGAAATTCATTTATTTTTAAATGATCACAAAGAAAAATCAAACCTAGAAACCAACCATTTTAAAAGCTCACCTAATTTACTTTTAGCTATATAGAAAAAAGAATGTAACTATAGCTTTTCAAGCTGTGAAAGTTTTGAGCAAACACTGCATCACAGGATTAAAATTCTCCATCTTCTCACACTTCTACAGAGGGGGAAGAGGAGAGTTTATCATGGAAGAAGAAGATATACAGAGGCAACATTCAAAGTATTTCTCTCAGTAGTGGAATAAAAGAGTCAGTTATAAACACAGAGATGCTGATAACACACAGATTACAACACTTTCCTCATAGAACTACAAAAATGTTCAATGAAAATATCAGCAGTAGAGCAAAAGGGATGAAATTGAGATACACAGTGCAAAGATGATGTGTTTAGGCTGCCTGCTGAATGGGAGGCTTTGAATGTATGATCCAGAAATGGTTAAGTAAATAAAACATTCCTTACCATATTTGATACAGCTGTTACTGCTTTTTGCCATGTATAAATAATAAGCCTTTTATCATTCCTGTAAGTAGCCCGTCCATTTGCAGAATTCTCAACGTTAGGACTTGCCTGCAGAGTTTCATTGTTTTCTGTCTCAGTATTAATTTCTGGTGAAAACAGCTTCCAAGAAACCAGAGGAATCCTCAAAAATAAAATATAAGCAATAATTCACACACCCCTTTGCAAAAAGTGTTAGTAACTATATTGGAAAATATGCTAGAATGCTATTTTCAAAATTTCCAATAGCAAGAGAAAATGACCAAAAGTGACACAGAGTGTGTATGAGAAGAAAACTGTCCAGTTTAACGATTAACAGCTAAGGAATAAGAACAGATGGATAAAACTACATCAAATGACTGTGTGATTTGCTGATGAATTCCACATGGATTAGAAGCAGAGTTTTAATACTAAGACATTTTCTAAATGCACTGCAAGTAAGTTAAAAAGCAGGTGTCAATACTGACGGCATTTTTTATATTGTGAAATTATCTGATGGTATTCCTTACCTTTTAATGTGGCATTCAGTTTTGTGCATCTTTGTACGTTGCTTTGATTTACATTTGTCATTACACAACCCATTTAATTATGCTAATTGGCGCAAATTTTAAACCCGTTAATGTTCCACAATAATATTTAAACTTATTTATGTGAGGATTGTGCTGGAAACGATCAGCAACACAGAGGGACATAGGAAACATTTCTACAGTAGATTTACTCCTAAGGCAGCTTTTACATTTTACAGTTCAGGGATCCATTAGTGAAAGTGATACAGGTAAATCAGTAGAAAAATCAGGGGTACATGTAACCTATAAGATGATTTAAGATCCATCATTTGAGCATAATCCCTGGTTAAAAATTCTTGTTTCCCCATCCTTCTAAGTATACACACATATACTTCCACATACACCCACAAAGTTATCAGTGCATTGTATTTGTTCATATTTGTATAATTTAATAATGCATTTCTACCTTCTTGATTTGTCTTCATCTTCCTTCTGCTCTACATCTTCCTTCTGCTTTACATCAAAAATATCTAACAATGGGATTCTAGTAAAATCTTTACTGTCTTCTGTTGGGATTTTTCCTTCCATCGACCTATAGTAGTCATGAAGAATTCTCTTTGTATCTTGGAAACGATCCACTTCAACCTCGAGAAGAAAGGACAGAAGAATTGTAATTCAAAATAGGACAGAACAAACTTCTGTTACTTTTTTAAATACATGTTAGCATTTATAGTGTATTCAGTGCATACTTCTACTTGCATCTATACTGTATTCACACTGCTATTTCTAAGGAGTAATAAGAATCTTGGTTGTTAAAATAGCAAAAACAGGAAAAATCCTCTACAATAAATAATCACAGAATCACAGAATATGCTGAGTTGGAAGGGGCCCACAAGGATCATCGAGTCCAGTGCACAGCCCTGCACAGGACCACCCCCAAGCGTCACACCATGAGCCTAATGTTCAGTGTTATTACATTTAATTACAATATATTTTGATGTACATATATTTCTATAGTAGCAAGTATACCAGTGCCAGCATATTACATGGATCTTCTTTTTCAAAGGAAATAAAATCCTTAATACCATAAAATAAAAAGGGCTATGGATGCAGAAAATTTTACAAGTCATACAGTTTTTCTGGATCAAAGAAATCAACAGACTTAACACATCTAAGTATCTTGAAGATCTTTTTGTGTGAATCATCTCAGAAGAAATCAAGTAAGATTCAAGAAACATTTAACACCTGTCATGTTTTGATTTATTGATACAGTATGGTGTTAGTCTCTAACTGACAAAACAGCACTAAATATTCATGGGAAAATGCACAAAACCACATTCACAAAACAAAGGATAAAACCTTTGTGGTGTAAACCAGTACTCATCCATAAGTTAAGGAGGAAATATCTTCTAGTATAGCTGTGTGTACACAGAAAGATGGAATGAAATCTGATAAATGGCATTTATACAAATCTATATGTTTATGTAGTTACAAAGCCACCTGGGGAATATATGTAACTTTCAACAGAAAACCCCACAGATGGAGAGCTCAATATCAAAGAAGCCTATTTCTGGCTGTTTCTAAAAAAAAAAAAGTCATTACATAAAGTTATAGTTATATTTTTAGTTCTGTAGTTTTAGGATTAATAATTCAGTTATTTTGGGGAATATATACTAAGTAAAGAAAGAAATAATGTTTTCCTTTAAATTTTCCTTTATGAAAATAAAAGCTTATCTATGGTTAATATATGTGTTTGTAATTTTAAAGAGTTACTCTGCATATACACACAAGACAGATCAAATTAGATTCACAGTGAATCTCCACTGGACTGCATCATATCTGTCCATGAAATTCTGTTAGAATTAGGATTGCAAAGTTATATATGATTATAAAAGGAGAATAATAAAATATTTAAGCTCTATAACATTAATTTGTCTCCTTTATGCATATAATTCAAGATGGATTTTTTAAATAGTCAGGCCTATAAATACTCTAATTACAGAATGAATGTGGTTCAGCTAGTCAGGAGTTATTTGATATTTCAACCTCTCTCTTTAGTCAGTGGCCTTAAGTCTTTCTTTAGGGCATTATTTAGACTCTTTGAATATGAAGTTAACAACTTTCTTACTGTAGCAACAGACTGTTTCACAAACTTTATATTTAAATTACCATAAGACTCATACGAGATAAGAGAGTGGCTCCCTTCTTTATTAAACATATAAAAATCACACAGAGAATTAAAGGCATGAAGCCCACCCTAAACTGCTTAGGTCTGCTTTTTTCAACTAAATCATCATCACAAGGCATGTGTTTAAAGCATCGTTTTTATTGTCTTCTTTAAAGTGCCAAAACTTTCACAGAATGGTCACTTCAGTTTACAGAAAAGCCTGTCTAGTCTAGTCTATTCCAGTCCAGTTCTAAACCAAACTTATGCACCTAGAACAGACGTAACAGGGAAATCTTACTTTACTGCAGGAACTGAACGGTCTCTTGAAAAATTTAAGGTTAGATATCTGAAAGCTGGGTCATATTTGAACGGGTTTCCTCAAGAGCAACAAATGATATCTCAATCTCAAAAACATACCTTGCTTTTTGGGTTTTTTTCAGTGTGTAAGTAAAATTTCAAGCCACATTGGTGAAGTTACAACTGAAATAATTTTGAGATACAGGAAATACTGTAATATCAAGTAAGTCTACAACAGAGGTGAATTATGTACTTTGCAAATTAAATGGAGATGTCAGTATGATTACAGAAGGATAAACATCTGTAACATTTCTGTTAAAAAACTCAGATGATTCACTGGAGTGATAAAATAGCAAAAAGTAGCACCGTATAACAGAGGTTGAAAGTTCTGGGCGGTTGGACGACAACAATGGTATTTTTCTTAACCTTTCCTGCCTGTATGGAATGTCACCGACTTTTTGTCTCTCAGCTTCCAGGATAAATTCAGAAGAGACATGAAGATTTGCTTAACTAATTCTCAGTCTTTCACACATTTGGAGCCAACTATATGAAATTTCTCTCAGGTTTACTGTCCTCCAAATCTAATTCATTGTCCCCTTCCATTGCAGACTCTGTAGTGGTCCATACCTGCATAAGTGAAAAGAAATGGTTCATTGCAATTCCCCTGTGATCTGGCAACCAGCCTTTATTCATGATATCAACACGTTCCTGCTCTGCTTCTTCCCTTCTGCTGTCACAGATATCCCAGAGAAGATCTCTTAGGTCCTAAAACACAAAATCAAAAATCAAAACTAACTATGAAAGAAAACTTAAATAACTTTATTTTATATATTTATTCTTAATTTTTTGGGGGCTGTGTATAGGGTATTGTCTCATTTGGGGTTTTTCTTTATTGCCATAAATATCAAAGCCTGGTCAAGTCATATGCTTATAGAGAGCTGACAGAAAGTGGCTTTACAAATGTACCAGAGAGAAGAATACAAAGACCTGAGTTCAATGTGCAGGCTGCCTTGCTTTTCCTCAGGCAGAGATAATCTATCTAAGCTAGACAAACACGAGACTATGAATAGCTAAGCTCCCAACTGCACCAACTTTGCAGCTGGATGGTTTGCTAACCAGTACACTAAGAATAATACTCTAAGGGGATGTGCAATATGAAAAATTCTGAGAAAATTATGCCAGATTTCAAGAGGTGTTCCAATTTGGATTGCCTCCATGCCATTTTTCTCTAACATTCTTTTAATTAAGGGCTCTTCAACTAATGTCTATATCTAATAGCAGCACTATGTGGCTCATTGACAGCACTGAAGACCTACTAAGTATAAAACAAGGTTGCAAATCCCTTGTTTCCTATTACCATCTCTGCACAGGAATAATGTGAACAAACCACTCTGTTGTAAGAGGTCATAGGAAGAGAAGAGATCTGTTAAATGCAGTGCTAAGGCAGGACAAGATGACCTGTCTGTTGGGCTTCAAGCTGCTCTGCCTCACCTGACCTGTTCTGGGATAAAAAAGGTGTTCCAGACTACTAGCCCTGCCATGAGGAGCTTAGTTTCAGTTGAGGTGATTCCATATTCACCAGGTCTTGGTCTCAGACTATTATGTCAAATCCTGTTTCTTTCTCCCTGTCCAAAGACTTCAGACAAATTCACTCATCCTCTGTTGAACAAAAGCCACAGGGAAGCTGACAAATAGGAAGCCCAAACACATTAGTGATGGCTAGAAGGTACTCAAGGCACAGGCAATCAGATATTCATGGCTGTCCACATTGTAGAATATACACCTAAAGATATGCTGCTGAATAAAAAAAGTATATAAGCATACAACTTATCTGTCGGCAGTGGTGGGTTGACCTTGGCTGGCTGCCAGCTGTCCACCAAACTGTTCTATTAGTACTCCTCACAGGAAAGGAGGAGAAAATATGATAGAAAAGTTCATGCATCGAGATAATGAACTCGATATAAGAGGAGATCACTCACCTCTTATAATCATGTGCAAAACAGACTTGATTTGGGAAAATTAATTTAATTTAATGACAATTAATAACAGAGCAGAATAATGAGAAATAACATAAGACTAAAACCACTTTACCCCACCCATTCTTTTTTCTAGGCTCAACTTCACTCCTGACCCTTCTACATCCCACCTCCTACCTGGCACAGGGAAAATGGGGAATGGGTGGTTGTGGTCAGTTTATTATATGTTGCATTTGCCCCTTCTTCCCCCTCAAATTCTTTTCCTGCTCGAGTGAGGTTCCTCCCATGGGATACAGTCTTTCATGGATTTCTCCAGTGTGAGTCCTTCCCAGAGAATTTAGTAATTGAAGAGCTGCTCCAGTGTGGGTCCTTTCTATGTGTGCAGCCCTTCAGGATTGCACTGCTCCAGTATGTAGACTCCATGTCCTGCCAGAACATCTGCTCCTGCCTGGGCTCCTCCACACAGGGCACAGTTCCTGCCAGGAGCTTGCTCTGATGTGGGGTCTCTGCATGCCCATGGACTGGAGTGGTGAATGAATTCCTTGTTTTGCTTTGCTTGGTGCTTGATTTTTGCTTTACCTGTTAAACTGTCTTTATCTCAGCCCACAAGTTTTCTAGCTTTTATGATTCTCTCCCCCGTCCCACTGGTGGGGGAGGGAGTGAGTGGCTGCATGGGGCTTAAACCACAACACCATGTCAAAGAAAATCTTGGCTGCCCTTTGGGCTTTAGGCCTTTAAGAAAGTTCTCATACATCACGAGATGGGGTGGGATTTTATATTTTCCAGTTGATATCAGAGAAATTTTGTTTTCAGGTTTTACAGCTGTCCCTTTCTAATGTTTTAGGAAAGGATCAGCTGAGATGACAGAGTTGAGCAGTCTAGGAGTTTGAGGAAAAACATTCTAAAGATTATCACTGTTTTCATTTCCTCTTTTTTTCTAGCATCAAGGAAGGATGGCTGACAGAATTCTTACAGTCAGGGAGGTACAATGGGCATGGCCTAAAAGTATAGAGGAGGTATCATCTTCACAATCACCCAAAGGTTTGGGATCTACAAGGACTAGAATGGGTCATTCAAAGAAAAAAATTCTGAAAATCATACATTCACTCCAAAATGCTTAGCCTTATCACAGTATCTGAGTCTCACTGCATCATATGGGAGTACCCTCTCCTTTTAACAGAATTTGAGTTGGATAATGTCAAACATGGATTTCTGTTATGTGCAACAGTCCAAATATTTTAATTTTACCTTTCTAAAATATAGCACAGAGTGATTCCAGTCTTTTTATAATTCCACTTAGTAGAAATTAGGGCCATGGATGATAATTTTTAAGTCCTCTAATTTATTCTATTGAAACAATTCTATAGAAAAGAAGGTCCATCTAGTGCTTTTTCCATCTCAGTTAATTAACCTATGATTCCACAAATGTTGCCTTTTCCTAGCAATGTTGTCAGTATTCTTTTTCCCCTTTTTTGGGAGCATTTCTCCTGATACGACTCAACTAAAAATCATGACTGTTCTGAAATGGGAATCTGATAAAATCAAAGATAGCTGTACTTCTGGCTTATGTTAAATCTGGCTCTGAACTTGTCAGAACCTTTACTGTCACGGATTTTTGTGAAGAAGAACACTCAGGACATGTATGACCTAGCAAAGATCTACCTGAATCAAAACATTTCAAAGAAATTCTCTGTACTTTGTATGAATGTTTTAGAAAACATATATTACCATATATAACTTATGGAAAAACTAAAATACTGCGAAGATTTGTTAGATTGTGATAGAAATGGCCAAACTTGTAAAATCTCTGAAAACCATAAAATTTAAATAAAAAAAGAGCAGTGTACCAGAATACCACAGTGTAACCTAAAAAATGAAGCAAGACATAAGAATATTATGGCCAAACAACAGAGAAATAACTGTGAAGAACACTTTATGCACAAGAGTAAATTAAATAGTTTAAGAGGAGTGGTAAAGAAGGAAAAAGAAGTAAATAATATCATTCATATCATATCAAGATTGTATAAAATGAATAATAGTCTAGAATATATTGTAACTTTTCCATTTACTTACAGTAACTCTTTGGTGTAGTTCAGCTTTTGTTTCCTCATCATCTCGCAGGTCATCAGAAATTGAATTAAAGTCTCTTTGCCACTGAGATACAAACTCCTGCTTAAGATCTGGACGTTTCAAATAATCTTGGAAATTTTCTCTGTAAATTACGGTAAAAATAATTTTGGTGTTAAAAGACATACAGAATGCCATATGAAAAATAAAATACACTAATATTAATGTAATAAGATACACTTTCTACTCACCTAATATCTGCTATGTAATGAATCATTGTGTACTGTTCATCCCTTAGGCATCTAAGTATAGTTTTGATGGTATTTATATATGCATTTTCTATCATTTCCCAGTAAGGTACTAAAAAATCAATTATCTCCTGTGAATTTTTTAAAAAACATCAACATTAAATGATATATTTTTTGGTATCTCATTTATCTGTAGCATTAGTAAATACATGAAAAAATTATTTCATTAAATCATATTACTTTTTTTTTCACTATATATTTCTTTTGCTTTACAACTGATCATAGACATTGTACCAACATATAGTTTTATCCTGTGCATTTCCAGCAGAATACTCCAGCATCTGTGGTTTTGGATGTGCTCATAAACTAAGTGATGATACTGAGTGAAATTTGGTCATTTCTGTTTGAGCTCGTAAAGATCTAAGCTGACTATCTAGTGTTCCAAAAGTGACATTTCACTGACTGACTGTCAGGAAATATAAATAAAGCCCATGGCCAGAGGAAACCAAGCATAAGCAGTCATGAAGGAAAAACTGGTAAATATTAAGAAAGGAATTAGTAACAAAATTCCAAGTTTCATTGTCCACCCTCGAAATCTACATCCAAAAAACTGCATGCAGTCTTGGCTTCCCACCTCCAAAGACTTACAAGAGAACTAGAATAGATTATAACTGGATTGGAGAAGAAAAGCAACATTGAGCAAAATGAGCATATAAGAGATGCCAGTGATGTCTTAAATACCTTCAGAGAGCGATTATAGAATTATCATTCATTGTATCTCACAATACATGAATTAGGGTCATCAAATTCAAACAAAGAACGGTTTAGAGCAAAGAGAGAGAAACTTTTTTTCCAAATTAACATAATTATACAGCCTATTCCACAGAGAAAAAAAAGCAAATTGCTTCAAAAAAGCAACTAAACCAGCTAAAACACAGAATCATGAAAGAAAAGTTTATTGAGAGCTACCAAACATAAGATGCAGATATAAAGCAACTTCAGGAAATCTCTAAATTTCAGATCACTGGAATCTAGAAAGATGCCTTTGGAGAAAAGAGGTAAGGAAAAAAGTATCCTAGGATAATAGATTAGTCACACACTCCCCATTCTTACTCTTTGCATGAGATCCACAACTGCCCCTTGTCAGAGACAGAAAACTGATCTAGTGAGTCTGTATTAATATATCACAACAGTAAAAAAGATTATTATTAAGAACACAGGTATCTGTGTTCTTCATAATAATTGTAAAGAATTTAGAAAGAAAACTCAAAATTTTAAAGTATGTTCCCTTATTTTATGTATTTTAGTAGGAATGATTGTTTGTATATTATTTATCACACAGTACTAGCATAACATACATTGAAAAATATTGAAGAAAATAACATGCACTGATGTAAAAAGTTTAGGTAGAACATACATAGAATACTAAGAAAAATATGTACTTTGATATTTAAGATGTTTAATCCTGAATTAACGTACCTGGGGAAGTGGTTCATCTACATAAATCCATTCATCTGATCCTGGTTCTACTGGTGGTGGTGGTGTCTCAGGAGAGGGAGGAAGCAGATCATCTGTACATGGTAAAGGCTTTTCTTCTGTACCTGGTAAAGGCTTTTCTTCGGTACCTGGTAAAGGCTTTTCTTCGGTATCAGGTAAAGGCTTTTCTTCCGTATCTGGTAAAGGCTTTTCTTCTGCTGGTGCTATTTCTTGAGTAGACCCTTGATATAAATGTACAATTAGTACCTTGAAATGTATTTTAAGTATCAATAAGCAGAATTAGACACCTATGCTTCTCTGACAAGTTCAAAATAATAGAACAGATTCACTATTTCATTACTTAGATGTTGTTAATCAGAAAAGATACTCATGAAATCAGCAAGGATCAAGGAGGATTGGGTCAGAGAACAGCTAAAACAAACTTGACATCCACAAGTCCACAGGCCCTGGCAGAATGCTCCATGAGTGCTGAGAGAGCTGGCAGACATCATAGCCAGGCTGCTCATGATCATCTTTGAAAGGTCATGGAGATCAGGAGAGATGCCTGAGGACTGGGAGAAAGCAAATGTCACCCTGGTCTTCAAAAGGGGCAAGAAGGACACAGGGAACTACCAGTCAGTCAGCCTCCACTCAATCCCTGGAAAGGTGATGGAGCACCTCATCTGGAGGCCATCTCTACCCACATGGAGGACAAGAAGGTGATCAGGAGTAGTCAGCATGGATTCACTAAAGGTAAGTCATGTTCCACCAACCTGCTTATATGAACCTAATAGTGAAGGACAGCTCGGAAGCTATCAACATAAATACAAAATTAAATATTATTAATTGGCCACAAGCATTATTTCTCCATAGGGAATAAATAGTCCTTTACAGTACTTGTATACAACAGCTGGATCCTAACTAGAAAATCTCTGCTCCATTTGCATCAATAGGAATTTTGCCACCAATGCCAGCAGGGCTATTAATTATACCAAGCATGTAAAAAAACCTCAATTCCAACTAGGTAGCTTTTTGAAAACACTCCATCCAATTTTCTGTCAGCTGCGGTATTTCCAAGAATTTTTCATGAACTAGAGACATTATGCATGAGTAGTGGGATAAAATTTTACCGTAAAGAGTACTTTTCCAGTTAATTCTTTTTTTTGCCTTTTGGTGGTAGAAGACACATCAAGACTTTCTCATAATAGTTATGAAAAACACCTCTTGATTATTCACAGGTCTACTAATACTGGCCTACTTGAGGTATTTGTTTCCCTGGATACTTCACCTTTTTTTCCTTTTTTAATTATTTTTAAATTATTCTTTCCTTCTGCTTGATTAAAAAGAGAAATGGAATAAAGATGTACCAAAATTCATATCAAAATGACTCCTAGTTATCCACATTTTTATGCTGCTGCTGCTGCTGCTAAATAAATATATGTTGATAATGGCAAGTTAGACTTTCTTATACCATTATGCTATATACCATTATATAATTTTCATAGGATGAAAATGCTATCTTTCATTTTTAATCCAGGAAGAAAGACCGAATTCAATGCTTTAATTTGAATTTTATGTGAAACTGGTCCATATCCTCTGAAAAGGTAAAAACACAACAGAAAAGTTCAGGGTTCTGGTGTAGGTATCACTAACTCACACAACCCCAAAGTCTTCCAGGGGCAGCAAAAATGCAGGTTGCCATACAGTGTTATATAGTAATTATTAATTATAGAGAAGAAAGTCTTTTGTTACTGAATTCTAGAAAGTAAGAACATGAAAACTTACTTCTATTCTGTTTTTTCGCAATTTCTTCTATTATAATTTCCTTCACTGTTTCACACACATGACTTTCTTCTGTCTCTGCATTTACACTCACTAGAATATTTTGATGGACTGAAAACCATTTCTCCAATTTTGGCCATGTGTCTAGAAAGCCTGAAATTCTACAAAAATCATATTAATGTATGAAATTAAAATCTAAGTAGTGGAAAATCAAACATTTTCGAAAATCAGTGAACAAAAGAAAAAGAAGACCATCTCACTTAACACTAAAACAACTCCATCCACAAGAAACCCTTCATTTTAAACATAGGAAAATTTTCAAAATCCTTCTGTTAACTAGTCTTAGGTATTTCCTCCTCTTTCTTGTCACAAGCTAAACCTACTTTCTTATATCACAACTAAACCAATAATAACAAATAATAGTCAGAAGTAGTTAGCATTATCAAATATTTAGAAAAAGACTTCTTGTTCTTGATTTTGCTCTTTGTGTAAAGTTAATCATCTAGTGATTTAATTAAAATTGGAAAACTAAGTGCTTTTTATAAATGTAGACATGGAAAATAGCATTTTAGAAAATCTCTAACTCAAATGTATTTCACCCAAAGGCAGTTACATCATGCGTAACATATAGATATATATAGATACAAATATGTATACATATAGTTCATGCAGTATATATCTGAAGACTAAATTCTACCTGGAAGAGTACCCTGGAAAATCAGAACACATGAATTCTAATTTTCTAGGATTATTTATATTGTGCAAACAATGAAAATATCCTTTAGGCTCCACATGAGAGAAACGCCTAAGTAAATTCCTTACATTAAGCATGTCAGTATTGTCATGGATCGCATATGAGATTCAGATTAGTTACATGCCTAAACATCTATCTGGAGCAACTTTTTTGTACTTCATATAACTTACCTATGTAGGACCTGGTCCTTGTCCAAGTCAATCTTCTCTTCTAGGATTTCAGGATCTGAATTTTGATCACCGTTCTCCTGTTCAGTTTCAGATGACTTTGATTTATCTACCGAGTGGAAAAGAGCATATATGAGCATATATTGAAAAAGGCAATCATTCAGTTATTTCCGCAAAGTAAGACATTTATTATAAGAAAAATTTCAGTGTTCTTTGATCTTATATTTCTTCATTTAAGAATTGAGTATCAAACTTCCTAAAAGAAAGGAAAAGTCAGAGAACATCACAGAAATACAAAATCAAGCTGTAAAGGACCAGAAAACAGTCTTGCCTCTTCCTTTTAAATGCATAGCCAATTATAGCACTAACATTTCCTAATGCATGCTTTGCAGTCACAGAAATCTCCAGTTGAAGAGATGGAGTATACCTGTGGGCAGACTTTCAGCCTTATCTACTCTACCAGTTGGAAGGTATTTTCCCTGTCTTATCTGAATCTTCCTTGAAGTACCTACTTCTTTCCACAATGAGCAGATATTCCTGCATGAAACGACAAGGTATTGTCTCTTTCTGAGTCTTTTCTAATTTTAAGAAACCTTTAATTCATTAGAAATAAGCCAAATTTAAAAAATTCTGATATATTGTTTTTTTGACTCTATCACCACATTACATAACATGAAATAAATTCTGTTTGTATTTCTGAGATTACATCATGCATTGTCACGTATTCCAAGTGTTTTGGCAAAACAAGATCTGAAATTTATCAAGAATTTCAAGTGTCTATACATTTATCTTCACTACGTTGTTAGCAAGAACTCTGAAGATTTTGCCTCATTCTCCCTCCTACAACTACATAAAAGTTAAATGTAAATTGTGCTTTAATTTAAGTTATATGCCATCTGTGTGCTCAGTGAAAATGAAGAAGAATCTCCTATAATTTTGGATAATATGGGACATATTAATGAAAAAAACTTACGTTTTGACAAGGTGTGTTAGGGCAATTTAAAATGTGCAGTCTGAAAGTGAAACAACTCTCAAGAGGCCTTTGAGGATTTTGTCTTGGTTGGCCTAAAATGACAATTTCTGATCATTCACTGACTAACTGAAGACAAGATAAAGGCAGTAATCAATAGGGAATTAATTTTGGCACTCTCAGAGAATGAATATTGGCGCATGCCTCTGTTTATAATTTCCTTCATCCCTTTCCAAATGTGTCTCCTGAAGAAAAATACTATTTCTATACATTTATCTATATTGAGGGATATTTCTGCATCTGTTGTAACCTGTGTTTCTCCCAGCTGCTGTTTCATGGGATATCTAACACCAGCCACTGTACTATCTCAGCTCCAGTGAGAGTTCAGTACAAATGAAAAAAGCATATACACATCCACTTGCATACTTCTGGTTCGCCTTTGACTGAAATGAACAGAAGTATTTGAAATAATAATTCAAGGCACAATTAATGAAAGTGATACTGTGAGATGTAGAGAATTGTAGAAAAATGCTATTTTTCATTGGTAACTACAACTTACAGATATCTGCTTGTCATTTTACTTTGTTAATAGTAGTTGGAAACTTACACTTCATGTTAGCTGCACGTTTCAGTACCACAGTGTCTGAAATATCCAATAATACAGAAACATCAAATGCAGGTGAAATAACAGGAGGCTCGTTAGGGGCTCTGGGATCAATAACAAGTGAGAGCCTTCCAGGACTTGCATCTTTTTCCTCTGGATCATTCCCTGTATAGGCTTTGTCAAATAGCTTTGCCTGATTAATTGTCATTGGAAACCCTTCCACAAACCACCCCTTCTCCGGTGGTATTTGGCTAAAAGTAAATGAAGAACCAGAATTATACTATGAATTGATAGCATAATAATAAAAAATAAAGAAGAGCTTGCTCAAGCAGTCTTTCATTATTAATTCAGTATATTAAATATCCTGATGAATACAGAATATGACAGATATTATTAAACTGTAAATCAGAAAAAATAACTCCAAGTCTAATTAAAAGTGGAAAAAAATCAGAAATAAAAGTATTTTTGCTGTCTTGATAAATAGAATTTTCAAAACCTGGATAGGAGCTCTTTTTAGAAGTATAATTTCACTGTTTTCTCACTAACTTTTGTATTGAGGTAACAAATAGTAAAATCTGTTCTGTAACTCTGAAGTATACTAATGGCAGTATAACTTAAATCATATTTATGCAGGAACTTCAGTGCTAAATGCACATCAGGGTAGTTGAGACAATTTTCTGTCAAACAAGAGTAGACAAACCCAAGTGTTTATACAATTTCATACTTAATGGCTTCCAACAAGAGGTCAATTAGTAGTTCATCGGGAATACTTTTTCCTTTCTTCAACCATTTCTGCGATGCGGCGCCAAGCTGGGCACGTACAGACAGCTGTGGAAGAGTGCACTGTATGCTCAATGTTCATAACAGTTGTTGTCAAAAAGAGTATGATTTTACTTTTTGTACTACACACTATTTATTTTTTATTTTTTTTAAATTTATATTTAATAGGGTTTCTTCTTCTATTAAGGAGAATAGTTCTAACTGTAAAAAATGCATAGTTTAATCGAAATCTTCAACTGACTTCCATCACTACATTCATGACAATGCCAAAAGAAATATGGTTGAGAAACAAAGGATACGAAGGCCAAGAAATAAAGAAGTGTTTTGGTTCTAAGCTTACTTTGATTGATTTTCACTACCTTAAATCCACTGATGGTTTCCTACAGAAGCATATCAATTCATTAGTTCTACAGAGATTCTTTTATATCTTAGCTTTTGAAGTATTTTTCCATGAGCACTAAAGTCAAGGAAATCGCTGTAGAATTAAGCATTTTTAACATAAAGGAAAGAAACCTTGTCATTGAATGAGTTATCTGCTTGGCAGTCACAAAATCAAGAATACAGTTTTGCTAACTCAGAAATGACACAAAAAATACCATATCTTCTGTGAATTTGAGATTTAACATGAAAATATAGAACTTTAACTATATGTATAACTCTAACCAACATACAGAGGAATAGATTTTCATATTTCATACATAGAATGCTTGCAGTGAGGTAAAAAATTTAGAATGATGAAAAGGTGTAACCTTTTAATTTATTTAACCATTTCAATTAATGCCACTTCATAAAGTAGAAACTAAAATTGGTTTATAAACCTTGGATAGACCCTCTTGACTGTTCTATTACAGAAAAAAACAAGACTGTCAATTCAAGCTGACTCTTGAAGTCTTACATGTCATAACGTAGAATTAAGTTTGAAATTGAGCAAAAAATTGAAACATGCTTTCTTCCTTATATATTTCATTCTCATCTATCTGTTGGAACCAAAATGAAAACTAAGAAAAACGCTTACCTTATTTTGTTCTCCAGAACTCTTTTCATGTGGAATTATATCATGTTCACTTTTCATTTCATTTTTAAGAAAAGACTGGATGGCCTCCCAAACCAGAGTATCGACAGATAGTACCTGAATATTGCAAACTAATACACAAAAAAATTAAATAACTTTGTAGTTTAAGTTGAGCCTACGCACAGAGAAATTACTGCAGGCAGTTAAATTAATTGTATAACAAATGTTGTTTCCACTCTTTCTTCTCTATAACCACTGCAGTGTGTATCTACAATCACTGGCCACCTTGCCAGTCTCCTCTAAAACAAATACCTCCAAAGTTTATCAAAAGCATTTTCAAATTTGCAATGCAGAAGTAATACTATATTAATACTACTTTCAGGGTTGGGTGTTTCTAATATTATTTTGGAAGATAATGAAGGAATGATATGTAACCAACCCACGCAAAATACAGATGTATCTGTGGTTCAAGAATTAGTAATGCAAGGATTTGCCCAAACAATTTTTATTGTAAGAGTGAGATTTTAATACAAATAAAAGTTTCAAAGAATTTCAGGCAAAAAAAACCGAACAACCTCTACCTTTTTCAATAAACTTTGCACAGGTAGTTTTTCCACTAAAAATTTTTCCCAAAATACATCCCTTGATAGGAAATGAAGTAAGTACACGTGGTGAAGGTTTGGGTTGTGGAGGATAGAACAACTCCATCAGTCTACGAAGCACATGACCCAATATGTTATTATTAGGAGGAGGTTTGTTTTCACTGTTCTCTTCAGTTGGACTCCATTCCCCTGTCATACTCTGTATAAATGACAAATTAGCAAATCATGTCTCAATATGCCTTTTCTTTCATTTTTCTAGATATATGTATTTAGACACAAACATAATACATAAAATAACCAAATTTGAATAGTATTAAATAATAAAATATTTTTTAGAATGGACCCTTCTTAAAAGATATAATTATATCAATCATTAAACATTTCTTGATATTCACTAATAACTAGTTAAGAGACAAGTACTCATACAAACACATGGACTCTGTGATGTTTTGCCTCTGGCTGGATGCCAGGTGCTCACCAAAGCCACTCTATCACTCCCCTCACCAACAGGACAGGGGAGAGAAAATATAACAAAAGGTGCATGGGTTGAGACAAGGACAGGGAGGGATCACTCACCAGTTACCGCCATGGGCAAAATGGACTCAGCTTGGTAAAATTAGTTAAATTTATTATGTATCAAAAACAGAGTAGGATAGTGAGGACTAAACTAAATCCTAAAAACATTTTCCCCTCACCCCTCCTTCCTTCCTAGGCTTAGCTTTATTCCCAATTGTCTACCTCCTCCTGCTCAGCACAGCGGGGGAACAGGGAATCACATGTTGTTTCTGTTGCTTCTTCCTCCTGATGGAGAGTTCTTCCCTTGCTCCAGCACGGAGTCCTCACCACATGAGCCAGTCCTCCCTGAACATCTCCCGCTCAAGTTCTTCTCACGGGCTACAGTTCATGAACTGCTCCAATGTCGGTCCCTTCTATGGAGTGCAGCTCTTCAGGAACAGGCTGCACCAGGATGAATCCCCCATGGGGTCACAAGACCTGCCAGCAAACCTGCTCCAGTGTGAGCTCCTCACTCCACAGGCCACAGATCCTGCCAGGAGCCAGCTCCAGCACAGGCTTCTCATGAGGTCACAGCCTTCTTTTGGGCATCCACCTGCTCTAGTGTGGGGTCCTCCAGGGGCAGTAGGTGGATCTCAGCTCTGGGACCTGGAGCACTTCCTCCCCGTCATTCTCCACTGACCTTGGTGTCTGCAGAGCTATTGCTCTCACATATTCTCACTCCTCTCTTCTCTGGCCTCAATTACTTCTCTGTGCAAAAACTTTTTTTTCTTCTTAAATATGTTATCACAGAGCTGTCACCACTCAGCTTTGGCCAGTGGTGGGTCCAACTTGGAGCCAGCTGGCATTGGCTCAGTCGGACATGGTGGAAGCTTCCACCAGATTCTCAGAGAACCCACCTCTGTAGCCCCTCTGCTGCCAGGACTTTGCTGTGAGAACCCCAAAAAAGATTCCTATAATCACTTTTTTAATTCCATAAACATGAAAAGTAATTTCACCAATACCACAGAGTTAATCAGTAGCAGATTTTTGTAATAGAAATCCAATATTCTACCATTCTGCATTCTAAAACTGGGCAACATTACTGTTCAGTATCCCACATGAATCTGAAAATTTTATGGACAGATTTAAAATATATATTTGCCTAGAACACATTCAATAGAGAGAAATAGAAACCAAACCCAACAACCCAAATCAGTTCAAAATATTTAAGGGAAGGAAATACTGAGTAGAAACATCCAGTTCATGTACTCTGAGATCAACAGCGATTTATGATTTACCAGCATACAGCTTAATGAGGTTTTGCTAGTAAAGATCCTCTTACTGAGAATCACATCAGAAGAAAGATAAGAATGGAAGGATGTAGTCAAAAGAACGGAACACAGAATTACACTTTTGCAACTCTAATATATACTGTACTAGTATTGCATCCTGTAGCACTAGCAAAGTTTACATGCGGTTTATGCTGTAAGAAGTTAAAAGACAACATTTTAATATACAGGATAATACTAGTCCTGTATTAATATTTATTTGGTCGCAGTATACTAAACACCTGTTTGGAAGATATGTTGACTAATAATATTTGCTATTAGATTCTAGCTTGTCACCTCATTTGGGGTGTCAATAAAGGGTTGACAGGCAAAGTCAAAAGTTTCAGCAAGAGAAATGCCAAGCAGGAAAAAAAAGATTAAAAAAATTGTTCATAATGAGAGCAGTTAAACATTGGAACAGGTTGCACAGAGAGAGTGTGGAATCTCTATCCCTGAAATACTTGGAAGTTGACCAGACAAGGTGTTGAGTAACCTTATCTGACTCAGATATTGGCCCTGCTTTAAGCAAAGAGGCTGAACTAAATGACTTTCACATCTCTTTAAATGCAAACAACTGTGTCATTCTATAAAATTATGTATCAATATAATATCTGCAATAAATATATATGTCTATCTCATATATACATGTATGCACATACATAAAATTAAATATTCCATCACCATCAATAAAAGTGAAGAGTTTTAAAATTCTACTGAAAGTTAATGTTTTGAATTCATATTCTGGATAGAATATGCAACCTTTTCCTGAATCTACTATCTGAATGATGTATTGCCACATCATACATTCTACTAATAGAATTTGATCACTGTTTATTTTGAACATATGTATATTAGATAGAAAAACACAATGCCACTATCACTCTACATTAAATTTAAAATAAAATTTCAAATTAATAAAACAAAAAAAAATCTTGAGTTGCACAATATCCCCTTTCCAAAATATCTCAGAAAACATACTTCTTCATATGTAATTGAAAAAACATCCTTAAAAACCCCAAATCCTTGTACTATCTGAACCATTTTTCCTTAACCATATAAGTAGCGATGGATCAGTTGTTTTAAATTTTATTAGACTTCTGAGAAAAATAAATTCCAAATGGAATGGGTTCCCCCACCTATCAGCCTTCTTGCCCTTTTAACCAGAAAATTACTAGACTGTACCTGCCCTGAGGTAAAGTAGTTTACCTGTCAGAAACAAGTTTTCAGGCATCCAGGTGAGCATTATATAACTCCTGGTCAATACTTTCAAATGAAACTGGAAATTATTTGCTATTTTGAGCAGTATCTAAAGTTATGCTTGTTTTGGGTGATTTATTATGTGATTAGCCATGATTGATAATATGGTAGTTTCCAAACATTTTCATGCTAAATCTAATGTCTAATGTGCAATGGACTGATAGCACTGCATTTTCTTGTATTTTATCAAATTTATTTGACACTTTTAGTCAGTATGTAATGCAAACGTAGTATTCTTGAGAGATGCCAAATTGCCTGCCCTGGGCTTTTTACAAAAGATTTAGGAAAATGAGCATGAACGTTGCCAGAATGTCCTGTTAATACACTTTTACCTAGAAGCAATACTTTGAAGGCATTAGCTGTTCACTTAGGTTTTCAGAAGACATAAGTATGAATTGATGCCAACAATTTTACATGTCATATTATACCAGCTTTTGATGAATAATGATTCAGAAAGGCATAAGACTAACAACATCTGTGAATAAATTAATTACGTGACTGTGCATTTGAAATAGCCTGGCAGAAAAAAGAGGCTTTAAATGTGTCAATAAATCTTTGTGACCTTCACTAATGTTACATCTAGACAGGACTTAATAATATAAACAATATGACTAAAAACTTAATTTTTCATTAGTGCTCCCCACTGTTCCCTGCCTGTCTGTCCTGTATGCCCTCCTTCCTGTTTACTTTGGGTATAGGCCTTTTTTTCACCTAAAGAAAGTGATCATGAAATTCATTACATGAGTTGGTATGCTGTGAATAAGGACCTTAAAAAGAGATACGTCAGAAAAACCTTAAGATTGAAGCCACAGAAACTCATAACTTTTACACTCATTGGAGTATACATCAAAAGAAAACATACCAATTGGCTCGGGAAGTGAATAAAAGCACATATATATTGTAGTTATAAATTCCCAACAAGATAAAGACAGGTTATTTGCCATGATTTTGCCTTATTCTATTTATCAGGTTATTTGAGAAGTCTAAACATGCAGTGGGATTTTTTTTTTTCGAAGAAAAGCACCATTAATGTAACTTTGAAAAAATCATACAATATATTTTAACAGGGAACTATTCATCCTTCATCTTCAAATTTTGAAATTACACTAATGTATTCTAAAGTTGAAGAAAAGTTTTAAGTACTCTGAAAAATAGTTACTTCTATTCCAACAGAAGATTAAGAAAAACATCAGTCATTTTTAATAATTTTCACAAACATTACTATCTTAAAATTAATGGATCACTCAAACCAATAAATCTTGTTAGACCGCTTTCACTCGAAATTGCTGAAATTAAGACTTCCAGTATTGCAACATATATAGGATTTAATTTTACTGCTTTTACTTGTTACTTTCTGTTGCATTTTCAAACCTGGTAATATAAACTACACCTCCAAATTCTAATTGGTTGAAAATGCAAGGTGTATTATCTTCCATTATGTATTATCAGTTTGGTGTACCTTGTATTCACCATAATCTTTTTCATCTAACAGACTCATTTTATTCATCTCTACAAGTTGTTCTGGGCCAGGTTCATTTGGCAAAGGTTGAATTGAGGCTTGTTCATATATTGGTTTTCCATTTAAAAAAAATTCCTTCCAATCCAGCATCAGTTTTAATGGAACTCGGCTGCAGAAAAAAGAAAAACAAAACCAAACAGTTCCAAATCAAAAATTAAAGGGTTATATTTTGAAAATGGTGGACCCAAATCTATAAGAATCTTAATCATGAAACAAGTATATGCTAAGCTAGTTATAGCTTATAATGCTTTCTGTAATTATTACAGCTTTTTGTAAATGTTTGTTTACTCATAAGACAGCTGTAGGCACTTGTAGGCTTCAGTATTTTCACAAATGTGTTATCACACAACATTTGGCTGGCAGAGCTGTGTAGTAACAGTTTTGCTATAGCTATTTTTGCCAGCCCTGAAACATTCTTAGTTTTGTGGGGTAAAGCCTCCTCTTGCCAAAAATCTATAGAATGTTTTTACTGCAAATTAAAATTAATTTAGAATCGTATGAATAGTTAAAATCCTTTTTTTTATTAGTAATTTCACTAAATTATGTCTAGGCTGACTATTTTATCATGTAACTACCAAGCCTAAATGTATATAATTTCTATAAAATATAATCAGATACATTTCATATGGTTACACCTTTATTATTATAACACACAATTACATTAAAAAGCAATTAAGATTTTGGTATACCTTCTAATACTGTAAGTCTTACCCCACAGTCAAATCACTGAATACTAATAAAAGAACTACAGCTAAAAAGCCCCACTCTGCGTTTTTTTAAACATTTCTACAGCACAGGCACTTGGAAATTATTGCCCTTTCAGGGCCTTCTCAGAAATCCTGTGCAATTAGGGCATGTCAGCAGAGGGAATCACAGCATGTAGGACTCAGTAGAATTTGGGCTCAGTTGCTACTCTTTCGACAGTCCAGGCGGGGTTACCTATCTTAGGAAATTCATCCAGTTTATATTACACTGAGGAAGTGTTCAGCCAGTAGATCAATCTAGAAACCATTCAGTTTTTAACTTATAACGAAACAATTTGTTCATAAGAAAGGAAATCAGTAGTTCAGCTGTGGCTAGTGGATTTTGGTCTCCTAAGGATTCAAGTTAGTTGCATCTTCAAGAAATTATGCGAAGGCTGTAGCACTAGTTCACTCTGTATTACACACCAGCGAATTCTCACACAAAACTAATGTTATGTTTTTCCCACACAAACTAATTGAAGCTGTCATGTAAAATGTCTGAGAAACTACATAATTGGTTACAGTGCTTACAGCAGTCCGAATAATGTACCCTAACAGCTACCTTACAGCTGTTAGTTTTGCCTAGCAGCTACCATACTCACTTCTTTGTCATGTGGCGATATTCTCCCACTTTTGTCGACATATCAATGATTTGGCCCATCACTTCCCAACACATAGAATAATGTTTTTTATAGCGGGCCTGAGCTCTTTCAGCAGCAATTTTCTCATGTTGTTCTCTCTCTTTCATTATTTGTTCTTCATTATCAATGTTTTCTTGTTTTGCAAGAGCCTGGAATTTTTTTAAAGAGTAAATTTGAGACTGCAATGAAAATGAAAGTGCAGAGGTGCACAGTCCTGGAAATGAAAATTAACTTGTTCATGTAAGTCAAGAAACAGAAACAGCTCATTTCTCATCAGAGCTGGAGAGCCAGCAAGCAGACTAATACAAAAACTAATCTAAAAACTTTTATTAATTCTATAAATTCCACTTTGTTTGCTTTCTAACTGCTAAAATACAATAAAGGAGAAATGCATTACTTCTTTAATGACAAACAGATTAAGAACATATTGAGTGCTTGGGGGCAGTGAAATCACAGGTTTTAGTGGAATTATTCATTCAGAAAATGTGACAAATAATTTATCTTACTAGATTCTGATCTTCAAATAATTTTAAATTATTGATGTTGTTCAATCTTGGAAAAAGATTTCTGATCATAGTAGAAAATTATTCCTGTGATGGTGTGCTGCTTTTGGCTGAAAGCATACTTAAAGAGATGTACTTAAAGAGATCAGATAGCTGCTGATTACACAGGACTCCAGCTGTGTTGGAGGATTTGGAGTTGCTAATTGTTTTTGACAGGATCACATTATGCCCTACTATGAGCATTGCACTGGGTGGTTTTCCACAGAATTGTAAGTCCTTTTAATCAACTGAAAGCTTCAAGGTAGAAAGATATTAGCACTCATGAGTGTAATCACTCCAGCATTGGTCAAAAATGGACATTAACAGATTATATCTAAGTGAAATTAAAAACATGATTCTTGAAACAAGATCTCAGGTTATTGTCTTTTGTCCTGTTGCCTCTGCAAGACTGTGCCTTTTAAATTCAGCACACAGAGATGTTTCCCTACAAAGTTAAAATTAGTATAGAAAAAAAGATCAAAATTAGACTTTAAGTTGCTCAGCTTTATCCCTTATTATCCCCCTGCCATGGGGGGCTGTTCTTCCTCCCTCCCTACGTAATTCCCCTAAAGTTTTAACACACTGCCAAATGCTCCCAGTTCCACAATTACAGTTACATGCTTATTGCTTATCACCCACATTAGCTGTAACTGTGAACTAAAAAATAAAAGAATATATTTATCATCAAATCATCCTGTCCTTAGAAAAGTCTTGAAGTTGACAATACAAATTCCATTATAAGATGAAGGTACTCTAATAGTCCTGTAGCAATTCAGAGAGCAAAACAATCTTTTACCGCTTCTCTGTCAAGAGCTTCCTGGAACTCTTTTTGCCGTCTTTCTTCATATTGTTTTTCCCTAAAAATTCTGTTTTGCCTTAACACCTCTTTTTCATGTCGAACATGCATGAGTTGAGCAGCAATCCTCCGCTCGTGCTGAGATTGTTTCATTAGTCTGTAAACAAGCTGCTCCTCCCGGTAAGCCTTCTAAAAGACAAAAAATAATGCTACTAAGCACAGTTTATTTCCTAGACAACTCATCAGTGTCTCATATGAGAAATACGAGTGGAGTTACATAACAGCATTCACCTGCTTATATGATACATAAATCCAGAACAACAAACATATCTATTAATTAGTGCTATTTTTGTAAGAAGTGGTACTATTTATGTAAGGATTTACAGCAGCAGTATTTATGTAAGAATTGTAGAATTATAGAAGAGAATTCTAACTATGTCTTAACTGAGATATTCAGTAAAAATACATTTGGTCAGATTAACTCAATTTTAACATGGTTATTTCCCATGTGCAAAGAAACTGCAGCATATTTGAAATAATGGCTTCTGTATCTAAAGATATACCCTTTCCTCAAATAATTAACTTATTTCTGCTATTCACCAGTCCCCATTCTCAGCCACATTCTGCTGGATCTTTGATCACTCTCTTTTCTACAGGTGTGAAATTTTTCCTTCTTTCTGGTGATTTGGGTAATTATCTTCTCCATTCTCCTCTATTCAGGAGACTGGGAATAGGAGGAACCATTCCAGAACAGAGCAATATACAAGACTTCTGGGCAATAGTTCCAGTGTTCTCACTGGGACATGGATACAATACCCTATTTGGTACTACAGGAAAATCATTCTGAACCATTGCTTGAGGCATGGTCTGTGTACACAGACACTTTCAAGGCTATGGATTGTTATTTTTCTAAGTACTCTCATAACATAATAGTATCTTATCACTACTACACTTCTCTAGTCTGCCGCTGGTATGTAAACTAATGCTTAACCTAATCTAAAGTTTTGCTTCACTATCACCGTCTGGAACTCCTTCTGAGTCCTAAGCAAAAACATCAGCTTGCCTTTCAAGCCCCATTGCCAAATACTACTCCTACAGCAGAATTCTAGACGAAATAACTGATTTGTTGAATATTTGTTTCACATGCAGCAAAACTACTGGGAAATACATTCCAGTGTAAGGACTCAAACTGGGAACTGATTTGAAGATTTCAGATTCATTTTCCTAAGAACAGAGGTACAGGTAAAGCCAGTTATTAGTACAAAAAACCCTAAACCAAAATAAAGTCACATCTATTTTCTTTTATCTAATTTATTTTTTCATCAGCTGTTTGTGACAGAGATGAAAAACATGTTACATAAATACACCTATAATTGTAAAATCCAATTTGATTACATATTACCATATTATTTATGAAAGAACTCTACAAAGAGATCTAGATCTGTGCTACACAATGCAAACCAGTAAACCTGTAAAAAAAATTTTATGCAAAGCATGGCTATTTGAATTTCAATAATAAAAACAACAACTTTCTAAATAATTTATTTAATATTGATGTTGGGAAGAAGCCAATTTAAAAAAAAACAAACAACCTCTTTCCATATTCTTAAGTTCTTTTCCCTTCACAATTGCTGGGAATAAAGTACATTCCAATTAAATTCTGGTGACTTGAAAATACTAAACTGATATAAAAATATCTCAACATTTTTCTTATTTCAGTCAAAATGTGGGCTTTGCACTCCCTTTTCCTAGCACCAAATCTCATAACACTGCATGATAGTTCTAATGGCAGATGCAGTCATCCCAGGCTTTAATCCCAGAGTGGTTCACCTGCATGCTATGTTGTCTCTATACAAAGCTTTTCTCAAAATAAGGGCCTAATTTTGAATGTGTTGTGTTTTGTACCCTATTTGTAGTGTACTGTTTGTAAGCTATTTTTCTATGGAGGGAATTATCATCATGCATGCCACTGAAGTGGAAAACAATGCTATCATAGCAATTTTATATTCATTCTATGTGTCATTTGATATAGTTCAGGTGATAAATTTTTCCAATAGTACTGCCTACTGAAGAGTTGTCTGTCCATTTTCTCTTACATTCCTATCTCAAGGCAATCCCTTTGCCATCTCAGTTCTATCCACTGCTTCTTTGGACTTAGTATTTAATTAAGGTTTCAAAGAAGAGTAGAAAATGCACAATTTGTTTCCTATTGCAAGTAAATATCCTTCATTATTTTCTGTAGTTGCTACTGTTTACCTTCAGCCATGGATTATTAGAGTAGTAGGTACTTCACCAGAAGAAAATGGATTTAAAAACTCTAATTCACAGGGAATTGAAGGAGCCACCCTAACAGAATGGTCACTTGCCACACTCAAACCCACAACTTTATGATGCAAAAAGTTGGTCCAGTGAGAAATTAAAGCACCTTATTTAGGTGAATGTGCTCTTCCTAAAGCAAATGATAAGATGCTCCTTTAGAACACTTTACAGCAGCTAAAAGAGACCTTGTCTTTGTTTACTGAAGTGTAGAGAACTTCAATATTCTAAGTGATCAAATATTTTGGCATGCTCAGTAGGCCTAAAAAGAGCTCGTAGGAAATTTTTGAGGAACAAGAATAAATGAAAAGGCAATTAACTCAAAGATACACACAACAGATAAGTAAGGATTCAGAACACCAAACTCAAAGTTTCAGAGAGGTTGCTTTTTGGGTGGGAAATTGAAGCCCTGGTAGCTATCTTTCATACAAAAAGGAATGGACAAATTACTCAAACCAAAGGTTAAAAAGTTTTAAAACTTCTGGACATGGTAGGAGACAAAATATAAAAATTGTAGTACCATTTTTTGACCTAAAATTTTACATCAACATCTTCACAGAGGACTGTGAAGTGCCTGAAGAAATCATAAACATCATAATTGGGATATCCGCGTAATAATTTGAAAAATTACTATTAAAAGAGCACAACACACACTTTTTTTCCGGTTTACCTACTTGAGACAACAGTGGCATCCAGTGGCCAAACCATAACGTGTGTATGTTTCATGTTGTTCATACATAATTACTATATCACATGATTCTATTTTTCTATTTCCTTGTTTGATTTACAAGTGAAACAACTTTGTGCTGTTGTATAGTCATAAAATTTATGACCAAAACTTACAGTTCAGCATACATAAATCTATTTGGTTGACAAGTAATAATCTAGTAAGAGTTCATTTCTCCTCCCATTTTCATGTTTTCCATTTATTGCTGAAAGTAACTTATTCCTGATAAATTTTTAATTCAGAGAGATAAAATCTGAACAGAGAACCTAAAAATAACAAGTAAAAAACACAAATAATTTGTTGAAATGGTGGAGATAAAGGTTCAATAGGAATGAAGCCATATTACTGTCAAACACTTTAAACACCTCCCTATGAAAATCTGACTGGCATCACGCTGTGCTCTACAAAGACTAGAGTATTTTCTCTCCCAGGCTTCAACCTGTAAAGTGACAAAAATAAAAAATTTGAACAAAGTCCTTTTAGTAAGATTTATAAGCACGGATACAAAACAATCTACCGCACTCTGAAGGGATGAAATGCATTTGACTCTAAATGATCCCATGCCATGTTCAAGGTTTATGCTGTATAGGTAAAAATCTGATCCTAATACCTACAGGGCAGCTACAGTTTCAGTGTGAAAATCCTTTATGGTTCAGTACATAATGGAGGGGAAAAGTAATTTTCAACTATTTTGTATATTCATTTATTTTTTAAAGAAAATACCTTAGTTTGCTTCCCACTTCTCAAAAGTCAAGCAGCATCTAATTTCTGAAATCTCGAAGTTCCAACCAAACATCTCTTCCTCTGCTAATTTAGAACCAAATTACCACTAAATAGATTCTCTGATCTGGTCAAACTACTGTTCCAGCCAAATGCTCACTTGTCTTTCCTTCTAATCCCTGCAGTCTGTGAGTTCAATTGTTCCTATATCAAAGCTGATTTTTTTTTCTGGGAATTTAGGAACACTATTGTTAGTTTTGCCTTGATTTGGTGCCTCCCTGGAGCCTGTGTGATTGGCAGCACACTGCAACAGTTCCTCCACCCCAAACTGACAAGGCTTGTCCTAAACCTCAGGTGCACCAGCTGTGTGACCTCCTCACAGCACTGGCTGGCTTTGCTGGCTTAGAGCTGCTGTATCCACCAAGCACCCCAGTGACTGACAGCCAGGACTTTTGGAACCCCTAGTCCAGGCTGCCAGGGCTGCAAGAGCTGAGAGTAATTAAAGAGCAAGTTTTGGGACTGCAGTGGATTTCGGGCAAGTGGATTGCAAAACTTCTTCATGGCTTATGGATGTCACCAAGAACACGATGTAAAATCTCTTTGAATGAGAACTCAGAGACAGGATACATGGATAGACACATTCTTGGTCTAAGTTACTACAGGTGTTTTTCAAGAATACAGATCTGAGACAGACATCGAGAAGCATCTAATTCCTAGATGACTACCTCAACAAATTAAATATTTTCTTAACATTTCCAAAAAGTCTCACAGAATCATAGAATATGCTGAGTTGGAAGGGACCCACAAGGATCATCGAGTCCAACTCCTGGCCCTGCACCGGACCGTCCCCAAGAGTCACATCACATGCCCGCCCGACAGTATTATCCAAATGCTTCTTGAACTCTATCAGGCTTGGTGCCATGACCACTTTCCTGGGGAGTCTGTTCCAGTACCCAACCATCCTCTGAGTGAAGAACCTGTTCCTAATATCCCACCTAAACCTCCCTCGACACAACTTCAGGCCATTCCCTTGGGTCCTCTCACTGGTCACCACAGAAAAGAGATCAGTGCCTGCCCCTTCTCTTCCCCTCATGAGGAACTTGTAGACTGGGATAAGTCTCCTCTTCAGTCTCCAGACATTACATGCCAAGGCTTAAAAATATATACATATATATAAAATATATGCTACACATCTGAAATGCTATTATTATGCACCAGCAGTGGAGAAAGTCCCAGCTATAGTGGGTTCAACACACATGATCTAAGCTAAGGACTCACAGTGAAACACTAAAATAAATGATAACCAGAAATCACAGAAACCCAGCAAATTACAAGTTCTGTTTCTATACAATCACTAAAAAAGAGAAGACACATGAAATCAGTAATCTAAGAGCTGCTTTTTGAATGAGGAGTATCTGAAGAGAAATCTTAAAAGCCTTGTGCTTTACAGGACAGGATTCAAATAGAATAACCTGCAACATCCATTTTTAGACAAAACACAGACATTCTCCAGAGACATATATTCTATTCCACAACACATCAAAAATCTAAGCTCTGATCTGGAAATTAAGTTTGATTCTTCTCTTTGTTCAAGTTTGGGGGAGGGAGTGGCAGGGAATAAAAGGCAGATCTTCAACTGATTTTTATAATCTTCGCTCTGCTGCCTTCATTTAATCTTTTGTGGTTTGTAAGTATGGTGTATGACATAAAGGTTGTGAGAAATAACAGATAACCTTCCCTATTTCTCAAGAAAAGCCAATGGTTGGCATTAAAGTAGTTTTCAGACATAAGTGCATATATCTTCCTTTATCCTCTCCAAAAGTGTTCTGATTTTATATTTGTAAGCAAATTTTTAGATTGCTAACTGCACATGGACTCTATAGTTCAGCATACAACTTCTCACCTCTTCAGATTCATGTGCTAGTAACTGATCCATTAGCATTTTTCGTCGTCTCTTTGCTCGTTGTTCTCTAGCAAATGTATCTTCCTCTACACGTTTTTGAATTTTCCTTATATATTCACCATCTGAATAAACACCTAACAGCTCAGTTTTTGTCTGTGCTGTAGTTTCTTGAATAGTTTCTTGAGTTGTTTCTTGCAATTTCTGTGTTTGCAATGATTCTTGCATATCACTGATTGAAAAGATCAAAAAGAGAAAGATCTCTGACTTAATAGGAATTATGGCTCTTAAAGGTGTTTACATACAGATCCCTGTATAGCTATATGCAAGTCTAACAAATGTACAACATCACTCTGAGGGTACTGTGGCTACTTCTTGGTGCCCTCGTTACTTGGGTTACTCCTCAAGATATCACTCTGAGTACAGTTTTGCAGTTATTAATCACAGGTTTAAACACAGAAATATCTACAGCAGTATGGATGACTATCACCTCTTGTCAGTAGGGTATACATATCAATAAAGATGACAGAATGACTATTACTTATAATTATTCACAAATAAATCAACATACAGGCAAGTTTCAGGAAGAAAGTTACTTCTCTCTATTTCCTTTGAAATGTGTTACTGTGTATGTATATTCAGAGCCATTCCCACCTCTCTGCAAGGCTAAATGACCTCATAGACCCAATGACTAAAATTAAGAGAAGAAGAGATGCACTTTCATCCCTTTCTTGCTGTATATGTGACAAAAAGTAGTGAAGGAAGCTTGAGCCATCCCTACTACAACTAAAGGTAAGGTAAAGACACTGCAACCGTGTTGGAATTGTGCAGTGCTAGTGGGACAATCACTCAATCACAATTTAAACTAAATGAGATATTACTTTTTCCTCAAGTAGCTGTCTACATAGATAGCAGGCACCTGAGGTAGGATCCTGTCTATTCTTAGCAATCTAATATCCAAAATTACCTGTCGGTCACCTGGCTGTGTAATTCAAAGGCATTTCCTGTCATAGACTTCTCAAACTTGTCTATTTCCTTGTATACATTCTGAAGAAGTAAACAAAATTTAATGTTTCCTTTCTCTTCACAAAACATCACAAAGAAGGTTCAACAGAACAAGTATTAGAGAATTACTTTTCTGTCATGCATGTACAACAGAAAGGCTTACAGTGAAAATACTTTAAGCATCAGCTAGACCAAGAATAAAGGCAAGACTATTTCCTTCTTCTACCTTTCACTTCTTTCCCTGTTCCCTGTTCCTTGCTACACCTACTTACACCAGCCAGAATATCCTAAAAATTTGCAGCTATTCATTCTGCAGGATAATTCTGATTTTGCATAGGACTTCAGCAGTTTACATAATTCTCACCATTCAGGGACTTGAAAGGATATTCTGGGCTATCATCTGCTTTCGAATCAGTAGCTTAAATGTATCCCCAATAGTTACTCAAGCAACTATGTTACTACACTCTACATTTAAATACATCTGTGACAGTTGCACAGTTGTAAAAACTGGTAATATTTACACTCCCGATGATAATACAATCCAAGAACTCGAATTACAATCCAAGTACTCTTCCCTACTAGATAATACAGATTTTTTTTTTTAAATGGTGCATTGCTATCATCTCTTGATTTAAGACAATTGTCAATTTCAGCTATTACTAACATTTTTAATAGAGCAGACAGCTTTACAGTGTGTTACAGAACAGTTCAAATATTATCATGCAAAACTTCATCATGCACAAATGAGAAAGGAATGTTAATGCTTTTATTTCACATGTTCAACTCAATAGACTAGAAGGTAAAATAGTTTTAGAAATCAAATTAGTACCTACCTATGGTATATATTCAATACAAATTTTCTCTTACGTCAAAACAGTTTTTATTAAGAAGCAAATGCAGAATTATGATCATATAAGTATTCAGCCTAATTTTGACTGCCTGAGTCTACCATATTATTTTAACAGTTATATAGCAGCAACTTTTGTATGATGCAAGTACAGTATTTGTAAGTGTAAATGTTCCCAAAAATCATGTCTTTTGAGTTAACATAATTAACATTAAAAGAGCACAGATGATAATTACCTCTGCTTCTCTTTTCTTTAACAATTTTTTAGCTTCAATAGCTTTTATGATGGGTCTCGGTGGAGGCTTTGGAACCTTTAAAACAGCTGGTTGAATCCTGTGCGCTACTTCACTTTGTCTCCTTCTTCCTATGTGATCCTGAATATTCAACATCTTGTGTTCAGATACATAGTTTGAAACAAAATACAACATATGGCCCTAATATACTACCTAAATATTTCTGAAGTAATACGGTACTTTATACATATATATATAGATATAGATAGATACACACATACATTTACTTAATATATTTATATGAAGTAATTAAACTAGAAAGAAAACAATCTTTCAGGAAGAAAGAAGAGCTTATCAGGCTTTAGACTTGAGCAAAGGATCAGTGTCTTATAGGCATTTAGGGGCTTTCATTGAATTCTAGTTCTAGTATGTTACCTGTTTCAGGTCTGTATACAGCACAGAAACTGAGAATACCAGTTTCCTTGTACAGAAAATGAGAATACCATTAGGTAACACATTAGGTAACACTACTGGTGAACAGTGAGTCTCAGATGATCAAGAAGTAACAAACATATAAATTACACTACAGATACCTGTGGGTAAGGGTTATATAAAAAAAGTCAAAGACAGTCAAAAATATATAATATATCAAATGAGGTACTAATAAATTTTCTTTTAAACTTTGTTATATTTTGGATATTGTTTGTATTTTCTTTTCTAGATACGTGAACTGACTTTTCTTTCTTGTTCATGTAGTGACAATAGAACAGCTAGATAATCACAGCAAGATTCTGTCCCTTAATTAGCCATATAAAGCACATATCAAATTAGTCAACTACATCTTCAATGTGGTTCAACACCTCTTGGGTAGCTTGCCATTTCCTCAATATAAACTGTAAGCTTAGGATGAGTGTTCCCATGTCTAAACAAATTCCTTTCTCTCTTTTTACTTTATCAGAATGGTTACATAGAAGTACAAGATGTTCTGAGGCCATACCCACTAGGCCCCCTTTCCCTGTCTTTTCCTGCTTTTGAACAATGCTTCTTTTCTTTACAAAAGAAGAATGTCACAAAGCTCTTTTACAAGGACATCTCAAACACATACAAGTCATGGAATTTACACTTAGTCTTCAAGTCTATAGATATTTTCCACATATGACAAAACACAAGTACTCTCAATTTAAAATTATGTGACTTTTAAATAGTAATGTTTTTAAAGTCTCATAACAGTATATTGACTCTGTGCCTACATATTAAGGATTTCCACGCATAGTCTTTTCCTTCGTTCTTTTATAAATATGACTGTGTAGCACACAATTAAGAAGCCTTCACATTGGCTTTAACTAATCCATTATACACATATCCTTAAGAAAACACATCTTCAGAAGTCTATAAAAAGTAAGCAGTCACCTTTTCAATGTCTTGAGCTCTTTGCTCTTCTCGGAGCTTCTGAGCTCTCTGCTGCTCTGCAAAATGTGTACGAGCTATTTTATCTGCTACTGCCTTGGATTTTGCTTCAAAACGCTCCGAAATCTGCTGTAGCTGCAAATCAGCCTGACGTGGCACTAAAGTTTTCAAACGCTAAAATTAAACATCAAGTAACGAAGAGTCAGAAACAGTAATTAAATATGACAATTTTAAGATGTCTATTTTAAACTGTGTTTTCCTGCATTAATGGGCACAGAAAAAACATCTAAACATGTTTGAATAGAAAACCAGGACTAACTCCATTGAAAAGAACAGAGATCTGAATTTGAATGATGCCAAACTTTGTCTAGTTTAGAGAAAAGGACAAATTGCTTTGTAGAGCTTCTTGAGGAGGGGAAGTGCAGAGGGAAGTGCTGTGCTCTTCTTCCTGGTATCCAGTGAGAGGATATGTAGGAATAGAATCATAGAACCATAGGATCACAGAATGGTTTGGATTGGAAAGAACCTTAAAGATCATCTAGTTCCAACCCTCCTGCCCTGGGCAGAGACACCTTCCACTAGACCAGGTTGCTCGAAGTTCTATCCAGCCTGGCCTTGAACACTCCCATGGATGGGGCATCCACAGCTTCACAGTGCCTCACTACCCCCACAGTAAAGAATTTTTTCTTAATATTTAATCTAAACCTACTCTCAGTTTGAAGCCGTTCCTCCTTGTTCTGTCACCACATGCTCTTCTAAAAAGTCTCTCTTCATCTTTCTTGCAGGTTTCCTTCAGGCACTCAAAGGTCACAATTAGGTCATTTTGAAGCCGTCTCTTTTCCAGGCTGAACAATCCCAATTCTCTCAACCTTGCCTGGTAGGAGATGCTCCATCCCTGCAATCAGCTTGAAGGCCTCCTCTGGACTTGCTCCAACAGGTCAATGTCCTTCCTGTGCTGAGGACCCCAGAGCTGGATGCAGTGCTTCAGGTGGGGTCTCACCAGACAGGAGCTGAGGGGCAGAATCCCCTCCCTTGACCTTGACTGCTTTTGAGGCGGCCCAGGATATGTTTGGCTTTCTGGGCTGTAAATGCACGCGGCCAGGTCATGTCCAGCCTCACACCCACCAGCACCCCCAAATCCTTCTCGCCAGGGTTGCTCTTCATTTGCTCATCCCCCAGCCCGGACTGGTACCAGGGGTTGCCCTGACTCAGGTGCACCACCTTGTACTTGGTCTTGTCAAACTGCCTGAGATTCCCATGGACCCACTGATCAAGCTTTTCCAGGTCCCTCTGGATGGCATCCTGTCCTTCAGGTGTGGCAACCACACCTCTCAGCTTGGTGTCATCTGCAAATGTGCAGAGGGGGCACTCGATGACTTTTGTCATTGATTAAGATATTAAATAACATTGGTCCCAATACGGACCCCTGAGGGACACCACTTGTCACTGATGTGCATCAGGACTCTGAGCCATTGACTACCCCCCTCTGGTAGTGACCATCAAGGCAGTTCCTTCCCAGCGAGCAGTCCATCCATCAAATCCATGTCTCTCCAATTGAGAGAGAAGGATGTTGTGGGGGACTGTGTCAAAGGCCTTACAGAAGTCCAGATAAACAACATCTGTAGCCCTTCCCTTCTCCACTATCGTAATCACTTCATGACAGAAGGCACTGTATTGGTCAGGCAGGACTTGCCCTTGGTGAAGCTGTGCTGGTTGCCCCAAAGCACCTCCCTGTCCTCCATGTGCCTTAGCAGAGCTTCTAGGAGGATCAGTTCCATGATCTTACCAAGTACAGAGATGAGGCTGAAAGTCAGTAGTTCCCAGGATCCTCCTTCCTACTCGTTTTAAAAATGGACACAATGTTTCCCTTTTTCCAGTCACCTGGGATTTCCCCTGGTGGCCATGAGTTCTCAAATATCATGGAGAGCGGCTTGGGAACTACATCAGCCAATTCCCTCAAAACTCTGTGATGGATCTCATGGGGCCCCATAAACTTACACACATGATTGTACATTATGTTCATTATTTACTCAGGTGGTCATGGACCTGATCCCTTCTTACAGTAGGAGGGACTTTGCTCCCCTAGTCCCCATCCTGCTGTCCATCCACTGAAGAGGTGTGGGAAGAGAGGTTGTCAGTTAAGACTGAAGCAAAAGAGTTGTTGAGTACTTCAGCCTTCTTCTCATCTGTTGTTACCAGTTTCCCAGCGCTGTTTATCAAAGGAGGTCTACTTTCTTTGACCTTCCTTTTCGGATTAACACACCTGTAGAAGCCCTTCCTGTTATTCTTTGTGTCCCTTGCCACAGTTTCAGCTTCAACATGGCCTTTCTCATCCCAACCCTACACAACCAAACTTCCTGTCCATACTCTTCCCAGCTCACTTTTCCAAGCTTCAAGTGCCTATGCATTTGCATAGCAGTCACATCGGTCTCTTGCCTTCCTTGCTTGACTTCTTTCTCCTAGAGATTGCTAGCTCTTGCACTCTATGGAAGACATCCTTAAAGATCTTCCAGCTCTGTCTCTGTGGGTAGTCTGCCAGGGCAACCCATTGACTATCTCCCTGAAGAGCTGAAAGTCTGCTTTCCTAAAGTTCAGGGACCTAACTTTACTCCTCACCTGACCCACATCCCTCAGGACTGTAAACTCCACCAATGCATGATCACTCCAACCCATGCTGCCTGCAGTCTTGATGTCCCCAATTATCTTGTTTGCATTGGTGATCAACAGATCAAGAAACACATCCCTCTGGGCTATTTCTTGTGTCAGGAATTTCTCTCTCATGCATTCCAGGAGTCTCTGTGCTACTTTCCCAGCAGATGTCGGGGTGGCTGAAGACTCACAGCAGGACAAGAGCCTGCAAGCACAATGCCTCCTGTAGCTGGAGTAAGAAGGCTTTGTCAATAGGTTCTCTTGGTCAGGTGGACTGTAGCAGACACCAACTACAGGGTTCCCTTTTTTGCCTTGGTCTCTGATTCTTAGCCACGGGCTGTTGAACTGCTCATGTCTATGCCTTGGAGACAACTCTTCACAATTCATCTCTTTATGTAGAGGGTAACCTGTCTGCCTCTCCTTCCTCTTCAGTCCCTTCTAAACAGCCTGTAGCCATTCATAGTCACACTCCAGCCATGGGATTCATCCCATGCTGCACCAGGGGAGGTTCAGACTCCATGTTAGGAAGCATTTCTTTACTGAGAGTGTAGTCAAACAGGCTTCCTAGAGAGGTGGTCAATGCCCTAAGTCTGTCACTGTTTCAGGAGCATTTGGACAATGACCTTAATAACAGATTTTAACTTTTGGTCAGCCTTGAAGTGGTCTGGCAGTTTAACTAGATGATCACTGTAGGTCCCTTCTAACTGACATATTCTATTCTATTTAAACTGAAATATAGAAAATTCAACTTAAAACACAACAAAAAAATTACTGAAAGGGTGGTAAACAATTTACTTAGACAAGCTGAGAAGTCTCCAGCTTTGGAATACTCAAGACCCCACTAAACAAGGTTCTGAGCAACACATTCTAGTTGGCTTTGCCTGGAGCTGTGGGGATGGACTAAGTGATTTCCAGAGGCCCCTTCCAACCTCAACTATTCTATGATTCAAATGCCGTTCTGAACCTGTCTAAAGACCAGACCTACTCGCAGTTGCTTAACTTCTTTAAGCTATCCCTCTACAGCTGAAGGGATACTTCAACTCTCTGGTACTACCCTTGCATTTGCTCATAATCTTTCTGCCTGCAGACTATTTTTCAGGAAGTGTGCCAGAAAAAAATGTGAAATTTTACCCAGATGAATTTGATTCATGATATATAGTTTCTTAAAAACTGCCCATCCTGCTAACAAAGAATGGTTTGCACATGCTGAATCTTACTGCTGAAAACACGAAGAATGTCTTTAACAGAACCTACTACATCAATACTGACTTCCTCTTAGGTACTCTCTTTTCCTTTTGTTTTTATCTCTTTGTATTACCCAGCACATGATTATTGCTGGCTGGAGTGTAGTATAAATATATGGAGAGACATGTAACAGAATGAACCAAATCACTGTGGCACAAAGCTCAACACAGGTATAAATAGGCTTCCTGGAGGGGCAATTAGTCCAAGTTGATACCTAGACCACAATGCAGTCTGCAATCTGCACTGATAAAAGTAAAAATGCAGCTGCTGAACAACTACTAGGTTTTGTTGTTATAGCATTTTAAGTCTGGAGACGGCTTTAAAATAGAGCAGGAAACACAGGATGAACCAAAACAAAGGAAAACAGAACACAGAAGATCAATAGCCTATTGAGTTACTGATAAGCTGTGTAATGCCACTGTATAAGACATTGCAAAGGACTGCTTCTTTTCAATATAGGTGTTGGGTTTTGAACAGGAGATTTAAAAAGTGGGGAGGGGAAGCACGCAATACATGTAAATATGCTACCTCTTCTCTATTTATACAAAATAGGCATAGTTAGTTACCTCCGGATACAAAACACTCTCAATAGACTTAAGATTTGTAGTTGCGGCAGGTCTTATTGCTTCCATGACTACTCCAGGGTGCTTTGCCTTTCTCTTTTTTTCTAAAGCAATATACAATTCATATAAAAGCTTTGTTGCAGCCCCATGCTGTCCTGTCATGATGTCTTGGGCCACACTCTCATTAAACGGCACACCAAGGAGGTGAAGTGTAGGTTCCAGGCGAGAAAAATTGTTAACTTTTGCATCTGCAACCCTATATGATTAAAAACAACAACAAAAAACAGAAAATAAAATTATTTTCAGTTCCAACTTGCTGCATTAAGCATGGTCATGATACTTACCTCATACCAAGACAGGGGGAGGAAAAAAATAAAACCCACAGAGGACTTCCTTAAATAATGGGTTACACAGTTTGGCTTAGGTTTTATACTGCAGTGTATACACGCATTGATTACTATGTATAACTTCTGGAAAAAAGAAAGATCACATTGGATAATATAAATCCTGATACATAAATACACAAAGTGCATCTGACAGCAAAAGCTAACCCCAATTGCAGCTAATGGTATCCCATCCACAAAACACAGAGTTTGAATGAAGTCTCTATATTAGCTGTCTCATCACTTGAGCTCTTACCAATCAAAACATACGTAATGATAAAAAAAGTCTATATTATCCATTAAACCTCACAATACTTTGCCATATTTCTTCTCCAATAAAAAGAAATGGACACACAGGTTAGAATTAGCAATTTACATTCAAAGTTAAAATAGTGGCTTGCAGATTCCTGTTTCTCTTGATATGTAGATTCTCCTGTGGAAGCAGTCAATAACAATAGATATACAGGGTAAAATCAAATAATAATAAATTATCAGTTTATCACAACTAACACATCAAATTTCATCCAACAAATCCATAACTTCAGTCTGAGTCCGAACATCATGCTTTCTATACTGCTCTATCTCTTGAGTTCACAATAGTTCCTTTGTATCTACCAACCAGCTTTTGAGGTCAGCTGAGCTCCAGCACAATTCTACAAAAATGCCCAATTTTACCTGAAGACCTTCTGGTAACAGAGTATTCATCTTATTTTGAGATGAAATTGTCCAGGGGCTCATTATTCTCTCTATAATAGTCCATGCCTTATTTCTTACCCAATTATATATAACTGCAGCTTCCAACTATACTGAACATTTTTCTGCCATTGATTCAAGGTTAAGATGAGCCCTATTGTCACAAACCATCTCACACGCACTGAGAGGCTGTAGTGACACCACCTCTTAACTTTTTATTCTGCAAGGTGCAGCAGACTGGTTTGTACATACCATATTCCCCCTTCTTGCATTCCTTGAACAGAGGAGTGGCAGCTGCAATCTTCCAGTCCCAGGGACCTCCCCAGTCATAAAGACCTTTCAAAGATTATTGAGTGGCCTAGCAGTGATATCAGCCAGGTCCCTCAGCTCGGGTCATCAGGTCCCATGGACTTGCATATTTCAAATTTATTTAAACGTTCCTTTCTTGCTACAGGCTTTCCTATAAGTCTCAGAGGCTTGGGATATTGCAGTCTTATGGATGTCTCAATAGGTTCACATTTTCCCTAGCCTTCCTTTTGCCGTGGAGATATCTGTAAAAGCCCTTCTCGTTGCCCTTCTGCCTAGATGTAAGACAAGGTCTTTTCCCCATGAGGACAGTCAAGAAAATTGAAACAAATTGCCTGGAGAGTTAGTGTAGTCTTCATCCTCGGAGGTTTTCAAGATCACACTGGGTAAACAACTGCTGTAGACTTTCCTGTTAGTCTCAGGGGCTTGGGATTTCAGAGTGCGAGTTTTACCAGTAGAACAGAGTAGGACAGAGAAGCCATTAAGTATCTTAGCCTCAGTATGGCAGTCTGAGAAATACTTAAGGACCTGAGAGGGAGGCTGATCAATGGAGCCATACTCTGCCACCTTTGATGCAGGAAGACAACTCAGCATGGCTGCTACAGAGACAGGTCTTGGATCTTACCTGCTCTCTCACACACAGGGCAGCTCGTCTTCCTCCTCACCTTCCCAGCCTGTCCATCCTAAAGAGCCTATATCCAGCCATGGTAGCACGCCAGTTGTGTGAGATAATCCACTGCCTCTCTGTGATTGCAATGATGGTCCAGCAACAGTTCACAGACCGCTAATTTCTTCTGTTTGATCCCCATGCTGCATGCTTTAGTATACAGGCACTTCAGAGAGGCAGCCAGTTGTGTTGATTTTAAAAAATGTACAAAAATTTAGAAAAGGTGTGAATGTTTATCCCATAACCTTATCTTCTCAGCACTTCCTTAATTGTGTGCATACATTTGGGATGGAAGGCCTTCTGCACTGTTTCACTGCGCTTATTCGCATCACCCTCTTCTTGTTTGCCAGTCCAGGCCATCACTTCCTCACTTGTTTGAGAGTAATCCTCTCCTTCTCTCCTCATTCCTAGTTTACATCTATCCTCACCAGGTTTGTCAGGCTGTTTCAAAGATGCTTTTGTCCATCTTGGCCAGGTGGATCCTATATCTTCCTATATCTTCCCTCTCAAAAGAGGATCCCATGGCTGTGAAAAATCCCCGCTGTTAATAGCAGCTGCACAACCACTTGTTGACCCATGGAATCTATCCACTCCTTATCAAGCCCATCCACCTCACCAGCAGAAATAAGAAAAAAAAATATTTGGGCCCCATGCTTTTGGCTCCAGGTCTCTCTGGCAATATCCTTGGTACCCACAGAAAAGAGCAGCAGGGATAACAGGGCTCTGGACAAGTCTCTGCAGCTCTGGACTGAAGCCCCAGCATGCAGTAAACCCCTCTGGCTAGCATGTGAGGTCAGCAGATGGTACCTCCATTTTCTAGTGCTATCACTTACCTGCTCCCTCTGGTGCTCTGATGTAGTTTAGACTTCACCAGCTCAGATGTTTTGTTGCACAGTGCCACCAGCCTCTCATCTGCTACCACAGCCATCAACTTGTTCTGCAGCTTCACATCAGCAGGTGGAGCAGACACCTTCCTTTTCTTGCCAGAAGTCACCTCCTTGCCAGTCATCTCCTTTTCCCAACCCAACCAGCGCAGATTCTGCCCGCCTCTCTCTCAGCACAGCTGTGGGTCCAGGTTCCTGTATCTGCAGTGCCTCAGAGAAGATCCAATCCACTGATTTCATTCTGCAGCAGCTTGACTTGGTAACACAGCTCCTCCATGAGCACACACCTCTGCAGGCAAAGCCATCACCTCCCACTCATGAAGATGTAAAGACTCTGGGCATTCCCTTTGGTCTGACACAGGAAGACTTCATGCCTTTCTCCGGAGAAAAATCTGACTTGAGGCCTCTGACATTCTGAGTAGTTGCTCCAGTGGGTATTGGGTATCACACCCTGTCACGCATCCCCATGCTTGCTGAGCACACATACACTGTCTCAGCAGAATTTCTAACCACTTCTTGCACGTCCTGAAGTGCATCTTCACTAACTGCACCTCAAAGTACACTTTTATTGGGAAGAATCAAGAGAACTTGTTAGAAGCTGCTAGAGCTTGCTAGAAGTAAAAGCCTGTTATTTTTCCCAGCAACAGCAGGTACTCTAAAGTTCCTCAAAGAGTTACCAGGGGTTTTCCAATGATCCCAGAAATTCCTGGGAGATCTAGAAGTCCTAGAAGCAGAGCGCAAAAACTGCTGTGCAAAACTGTTTTTTGTTGGCTGCCTTTGTTAGCGGTACTCAAGTTGCTCTCTTGCAAATTGGTGGGACTTGCAGAAGAAAGGGTGTGAATACATGGGAAGTTCAAAGAACATAAAAACAGAGGTTCAGAAGAAAAAGGAAGATTTCATGCAGCCTGGTACTCTTGATGCATAAGCCAAGGAACTCCAGGAACTGCATCATCAATGTACCAAAGCTCACAGATCTGCACAAGACTTTTAAAGTTCACATTTTTCAGTTCTTCTTCATGACAGATACTACACCAGATTACTTGTAAACTCATACATTCTTGTATGATTTTCTACCAGGGCTTCACTCAGAGCCTCACAATGTATCTCCACCATTTTCATTTTAGTGAAGATGTAATGGTCACCACCGCATCACAGCTCTGTATTCCTGGCTCTACACAGCTCACAGGGACAGTAACACTATTTCCAGCCCTAGAGACATCCTTGAAAGGCTTTTTGAATTTTTGGTCTAACCTGTTACTATTGTAGTTACAATCAAAATGCATAATTTTCTTGAAGAAGTATGATCAATCTCTCTAGATATATGACACTCATTAAGGCATCACACACAAGTAGCTTTTGAGTCTCTGAAAAGTGTTTCAAATCTCACTAAGTTATACATGTTTTTCCACTCTTCATTAACAAATTCTGAGAAAATATTAAAATATGTCTACTTTATGTAACAGACATGTAATCCATAAGTACTAACCTGCTCTGTGAAAATTGTTTAAAGTCATCCTGAAGACCATATTTGTGTAGAAGTTCTCCTAGGAGGTAGCCATTAGAAAATTCTTCTGGAAATGATCCTGGAACTAAGTTTTGGTTTTTGTTGTTTGAGTTTTTTCCAAAAAATAAGAAAATTAAAAGAATTCATACATTAATCTTAATACAGCTTGTTATTATAACAAAACTAAGTCCAAACTTCATTAAATAATTCAGAGGAATTTCAGAAGGTTGACCTAGCAGTAATAGTTTTCAACTCACAAATAAATAAACATTCTGTGTAGTTATTTTGCAACATCAGCTTTAGGTAGTAATTTCTCATTTTCATTGTAAAAATATAAACATTGTCATTGAGATTGTGGTAATATCAATAAACTATGATTACTATATTTTCCATACAAAATGCAAATGAAAACAAAGCTAGATCTAATGTGCTTCTCTTCAAGAATCATAGAATATGGTGAGTTGGAAGAGACCCACAGGGATTATCAAGTTCAGCCCTGTGCAGGACACACCAAGAGTCCTACCATGTGCCTGAGAGTGTTGTCCAAACACTTCTTGAACTCTGTCAGGCTTGGTGCTGTGACCACTTCCCTGGGGAGCCTGTTCTAGTGCCCAACCACCCTCTGGGTGAAAAACCTTTTCCTGATATCCAGCCTAAACCTCTCCTGACTCAGATTCACACTGTTTCCTTGGGCCCTGTCACTGGTCACCACAGAGAAGAGATCAGTGCCGGCTCCTCTGCTTTCCCAACATAAGGAAGTTGAAGACTATGATGTGGTCTCCCCTCAGTCTCCTCCAGGCTGAACAGACCAAGTGACCTCAGCCACTCCTCATACAGCTTCCCCTCAGGGCCCTTCACCATCCTCGTTGCCCTCCTCTGAGGGCATTAAGCTCCTAAGAGCTTAATGTCTTTTTTATATTGTGGTGCCCCAAACTGCATGTGGGACTCAAGGCGAGGCTGCCCCAGGGCAGAGCAGAGTGGGAGAATCCCCTCCCTCAACTGGCTGGTGATGCTTTGCCTGATGCCCCCCAGGACACGGTTGGCCCTCCTGGCTGCCAGGGTACTGCTGACTCATATTCAACTTGCCATCGACCAGTACCCCCAAGTCCCTTCCAATGGCACTGCTCTCCAGCCTCTCATTTCCCAGTCTATACACACAACCAGGGTCGCTCCATTCCAGGTGCAGAATCTGGCACCAACATACAGTTGGTGATTGTGCATTGCTCTAATTATCAACAGGAAGTTGCTCCCTCTTCCTTACAGAATAAACGTTTTTGCAATGCCAGCACAACACCTGCCATACAAAACAAAGCACTACTTTCCAAACACATTAAGATATATTTTTTATCCTCTGGAGTCCTTATTAGCAGATGAAGCTCGAGCATCTCCTGTCTCCTGAGAGCACTTGCCCCATGAGGAGAATTAACTTCAGCTCGAAAACTTCAGGCATTGGAACAGGTTGCTCAGGAAGGTGGTGGAGTCACCATTCCTGGAGGTGTTTAAGAGGTGTCTGGGTCTGGCACTGGGCGATGTGGTTTAGGGGTTACAGTGGCAGTGCAGGGCGGACAGTTGGACTGGGTGATCGTGAAGGCTTCTTCCAGCCTTGAAGACTATATGATTCTACGACTAAACATGTACCTGCGGCGGTACCAAGGAGCGGGCCAGCGGACGGGTCCGCCGGGGGAGCGGCCGGGGGGGGAGATCCCCTGGCCCGACCTGGCCCGACCCTGAGGCAACGCCCTCGCTCCTCCCCGCGCAGCAGGGCCCCACTCACCGACGCGCCGGGAGAGCTTCACCTCCTCGTTCAGCCACTCGCAGAGGATTCGCGACATGGCCGGGCCGGACCCGCCACCGCCTCCTCCACGCTCCGCGTCCCGTTGCCGCGGCGACCGCCCGGGGCGCCTGCGCGGTTGGGGCGGGGCGGGTGGCGGCCGTGCCGCGCAGGCGCCGCGGGCGGGCGGGTCCGCGGGTGTGCACGGGCGCGCGG